CTGAATTAATTAAAGCCTTTCATTTGTAAGGACTCTAAAGTTCTGGTATCTAGAAAGTGCTGTTTTAAAGGTAAAAACTGGGCTTTTGATATTTTACTTCTAATTTGTCTTATAAGCTTGAAGACACGTGTCAGAATAACCCACTGGCTGGAATGGGGGTACACTGAAACCACATATCCTCTGAGCTAAAAATAATTAAAGCATTTCAAAATTTGAACACTGTTCATTTTGCTGAATGAGCCAGTTATTGATTTTTCTAAAATTATGTTTCATTGCAGTCTCTTCTGGAGCCATTTTCAAAATTACTGAGCTTTGTCATTCAGAATGCTGTCTTCACTCTGGCCTACCTGGTGGAACTGTGTGGTTTATGCTACCGTGCCTTCACTAAGGTAATAATGACATAATATTTTTCATTAAAGACCAATGAAAACAGGATAGAGAAAACTATTACTTCCCTCAAGTGGGAAATGCATAAGTAAAAACTGAAATCAGTGTTAAACTGCAGTCATGTCAGCAGGTTTTGCCAGTTAGTAATTATGTTGATTCATTGCCTATCAATGATATTAACTTTCATACTCCTGGCTGCAGACACAATAAAGGGAACCTGCTGGAAAGGCTGTGCTTAGTAATTCTCAATGATGTACCTTTATAACTTTGAAATTTTTCCACAGGTATAGCTCATGACTGGTATTTGTGCATTATTTAAAAACATGAGTTGAATTAAGAAAAGATAGCCCATATGTAAATAGGTTCAGTCACACAGCACATGTAGTCAACATCTAGATGTTTTGCATGTTTCATAGGCTGACCGCATGTTGGAAAGCAATGTGTAGAAGGAGATTATATGGGCTGAGAGAATGTCATGGCAGTGCATGGGTGGCACCTTTGGCTTTACTGCTGTCTTCCTGTGGCACATTATAGTGTTTGAGGGGTTTTGTTATTGGATGATTTATGACTGATTTGTGAGAGGGGCAAGATTGGAGGCTCTTGTAGATCTGTTTGGGAAAATGTTTATTATATCATTGCTCAGAATTGCAGGGGCCTGGTCTTGATGACCAAGGCAGTGCCCTCCAGCCCTTTGTTTTTAGGAAGTTGCCTTCCAAACTCTGTTTCTGCTTTTTCCTATATACATCACTTAAGCTTTTAGTTGTGCTTCAGTTACTATATGTGTCAAAAGGAGATGATAATATGTGCCCCCCTGTGATAAGCTATTTGAGATCTTTGGATGCAAGTAGTGGTAATTATATACACAAATAATAATAACAGTGTGTGAATGGATTTTATATTGGCTAGTGACAAGAGGATGCACAACACACAAACAGCAGAGAAGAGTCAAACATTTGAGCAGATCCATACACTAAATCAAATAGATTATTTAAGGAAAAACCCACAAGCCGTAGCCACTCTTAGACTAGACAGTTTCTCAGCTTAGTCAGTATAGCATACAATAATTAATAATTAAGAGATCTTTTCCTAGATAAATAGTTAAATTTTTCAATAATTATTACATGCATACAACATATATATTAGGAATGACTTCTGTAGTCATGAGAATAAAGCTATCCCTTGAAAAGGCATGCAGCAACCATAATAAAGACAGAAGTTCCCTGGCTAAAAAATAAGAAAAGTCATTTTATCAGAGGTGGTGACAGGTATTTGGAATTCTTCCATAACCCTGAGCTGAACTCCCACAACAAAAGGTATCTTTAATAACTCCAAGCAGACAGTGCCTTATTTTATTTCTCATGTGAAAAATAGATCTCAACAAGGAGTAAAACCTACATCTCGGAAGACCTTCCTGCTCATTAGAAATAACTATGGCTTGGTGAATGATAGATTTATCAGTTTGTAGCTCAAACTTAAATCAAAAAGTGGTTTGACTCAATTTACAAATTGACAAAACTGCAGTTTTGACAGATGTCCTTGAAAATATTTCTTTTGAGTCCTGAAATTCTTTCAACAATGTTATGTGTCTTACACAGTACAGAAAAATGCTTATGTGAGATGAGCAGGGGCTAAACAGACTCAAGGGTATGGAGTCTGAACCCAGCCCAACTCAAATTTTTTGTATAACTTAGCAAGATGTTTGAGTTCTCCATGCTCCCTGTCTGTAGTTTGAGAGCAGTAGGTGTGTGTGCATGACACTTTAAAGTGGGCTAAATGCTTTTGCACCACTTTAATGGTATCGGTGTTTGCACACCTCAGCGGCATATTGCACATCAATTCCAGCTGCTGTAGGAAATTCAGCAGCGTAATGCACCTTAAATGGCTCGGGGCACAGCAAACTAAAACTCCTTTGAGGAGTTTTAGTTTGCTGGCCCTACAGCCATGGAGCGAAGCACCGGGGTCCATGCAGCTCCATAGCTCTGCGGGAAGCCCTGCAGGCAGCCTGGCAGCAGCCTGGGAAAGCAGCTCCACACAACAAAAGCGGCGATCCTGATCTGCCCCCTGGAGCCTGCCTGAGCTGTGCTTCCCTCCATGACTGTGGTGCCCCTGGGACTGCCCAAGCTGGGTGCCTGTGGGCAGGTGCTGCCTGGGAGTGGGGGGCCACGGCTGCCATGGAGGGAAGCACCAGTCCTCTCCCCCACTTCCCCCCACAGCGCAGGGACTGCTCTGCCTCTGGCAGCTCACCCTCCCCTCCCCACTGGAGAGGCAGGTAAGTCAGCAGGGTGTGTGCATGACACAGGGGTTTAATCAGCCCTAAATTGAAGCGGTGTTTTTTAAAACACACCGCTTCAATTTAGGGCCCCTGTTTTATCTACTCGTGCCCAGTCTTACTTCCCTACCTCCTGGAGGCTGAATTTAGATTTCCAGAAATGAATGCTACCAGTTCCTAACCTTTCTTAAAATGAGACACTGTCTGAAAAACTCTGACATCTCAGAATAATTCCTGGCACTGTCAACAGAGTGAACAGAAGCCATTTTGGGCATGTTTTTACTACAGTTTGTGAAGGGATATGAGTCTAGATGTGGGTGTATGGACTTGCTGAGCCTGTTGTAGAGAATGCTGCACTCAAGTCATCATTATGTAGGTGCTATAGTTACATGGGTTTGTTGCCTGGATTTTGGGTGCATCTTAGATTTTGACCTTTTTTTTTAGTTTTATAGTTTATTTTCATGAATGAAGGTAGGCTTTATACACAGGGGCAAACTCTCTTTGTAATAGGGGTAAGAAAACAGAGAGTTCCTGAACTTGCAATTGGCATCCATTGTTTTGAGTTGGTGACCTTGAAGGTATTTTATTTGCCCCCTGCAATGGACAGCCATCTGCTCAATTCACCTTGCTGAGAGCCTGTCATACAGGTGATAATTTCAAGTACATTTCCCAAAATCATGTTTTTTGTTGTGCCCACAGTAAAGGTTTACCAGAAATCTACAAACCTCTGGCTACCTAGAAGCATGCTGGAAAGGCATCTTCTAGTGCTGTCCACAGTGAGATGAGTACTGCAGAAATGGAGAAAGCTAGATGGAATGAAGCCAAATGTCATCCCAGTACTTCTGGTGTACAGGAAGCAAGTGGGAATCGGGTAGATAAAAAGGCTAGAAAATATAGGCCTGGGGAATTGTAGTATGGCACTGGAGGATTATTCAAACCCAAGCTCTGGTACCTAGGCTTTCACTACTTCCTTACTGAAAAGTAAGTGGGCCATCGCCTGACTTAAAATGAAACTTCAGGTCTAACCTATATTCCTGGAAAGGTAAACAAACATGGGTTCAAAACACATAAACTCAGACATCAGGGTTTTGTGTGAAGATGGTGTGTGGTGAAAGCCAGATAAGAGCCTAGGTTGAGTTAGCAGTGGAGGCATAGCCTTTGTTTTTGGACCTTGTTTGTACATAAAGCAAAGGTTGGAATGTCTGAAATACCCAGGTGCCCTCAGACAAACTCATCTTCTGTTATTTCAATCAAGTTCTTGTTCTGATATAGCACTTGGATAGCATTTTTTCCTTCTATGTTTCCTGGACATGAGCTACAAAAATAGATTGACAACTTTACTGGAAACAGTAAGCCTGAATTATATCACTTTGTGAAAATTCCTTCTTGAATTTGCTAATGCAGCCTAGTGACCCAGAATAGGATCATTAGCAAATATTCTGCTGCAATTTATACCCAGAGAGCGCTTCATTTAGTAGAACTCCATGCCACATTATCTTTGTTATTGTTGAGAGTTTAATATAAGTGTGTACTAGAAATATCAAAATTATGATGGCTCCTGAAGAACATTTAGTATTTTGTGTTCTTCTATAATGAAAATCTCTATAGTGTAACTGTCACAGGGCACTAAAGTGTCTGCTTCTTTAAGAGCAGAAACTGCCTAGGCAGAGGGCCCTAGGAGCCAGGCAGAACCCTCACAGGTGCAGGTTACTGTGGCAGCAGGATAATAAGGGAATTGACCTGCACCCAGTCAGCTGACCAGAAGAAGACAGGGTTCTGGGCACATATAAACCTCAGGGCTGAGGCCAGCAGAGGTTAGCTTTCTGGCAGCAGCCAGGGGAGGGAGTCTGCAGAGAAGAATTGCCCAGAAATGCTGTGTCTGCCTGATATACTGCACATGGGGCTCCAGGAGCTCACCAGGTACCCTGGCCTACGAGGCACTTAATGCTGGGGGGGGAGTTTGACTCTTTTAAAGGGACAGAGTGTACCCTGAACTGGTTGTATTATGTTATAGCCCAGGGATTCATATTTTGGTTGCTGGTTATAAACCGGTGGACCAGGCCGAGGCTATTGGGAAGAAGGAGGCCTCATTGGGGCCACATTGTGGTGTGGAGACCCCAGCACCAGCAGGCACAGCGCCAGGGGATGCAGAGACAAAGGGGCTGCGGAGAGCCCAACACCAGCATAGGCATAGAGACAGGGCTGCGGAAAGCCAGTGACAAAAGGGAGGCTGAGCTACATCAAGGCCTCAGAGGGACAATGTTTAAATACCATCAGCGAGGCTTGGGGTATGGTAAAGGGATGGTTTTGGAGCCACGCATCTAGCCCATAAGGCTGAGGGTGTCCCATGAGGCATCCATTTTGAGTGGGACCCAAAAGGGGTCCAAGAACCCACAGGGTTCAGTGGGGTCCATCAGAACCGTGTCCAAACACAAACTCAAGGGCAGCCTCCCTATTTATTATAATTGCCAGCAAGATGTGGCAGACGAGAAAAAGGGTGCCCATTGGGCAAGATTGGCATAGTCACGGAGCCCTAGGGGCATCACGGCCATCCCTGGGGACCCCATCCCATGATAGTAATGGACTAATGTTTCTGAATAGATACCATACATAACTGTTCTAGCAGGAATATAATTTTTGAACCTTGACAGTATTCAGATTCATGTGCTCATGTTGCAGCTTTGTTTTGTCTGCTGGAACCAACCATATCAGCACAACCTGCAAATATATTATGGAGCAGTATGTACTTGCCTTTCCAATAAGCACTGCATTCTCCTATAGGAGTTTAGAGGTCAGTGCCACTGATGCAGTCACCCTTTTTTATCTCCGATATTTTCATAATTCCCTTCGCAGGAATATCTCAATTTCTCTTGTCTTTTTGTGTCCAGAAACTCACATCAATCTCATGTTTCCTTATCTGACTTTGTTTTCCAGGTGGCGAATTTGATTTCAGTGCCTATGGTATTCTCAGTTGAGAATAGCTTTGCTTCTGTGGATTGCAATCTGAGTATCTTTAATTTGCCTGTCAATCTCAAGAGGACTTTAATTTTACATTCTTATCTCTTACAGCTGCTGAAGTTTGAACCCTAATTTAGTTTCTTGCTAACATTCATTGGGCTTTTATTAAGTAACAACAATATAGCATTGAATTAGACGTGATATCACTTTGCTATTGAAATTTTTTGAGCAAACTTACAGTAGGTCCAGTTCTTCAGCTGAGGTAATTTAATGTAGCTACACTCAGAAGAGTCTCCCAAAATCTATTCGTATTTCTATTCTATTAAAGAACTGAATGAGATGATGATTTTTGTCTGAGTTTGGGTCCTCAGTATTAGTGACTAGCAAACCTCCAGAGTGTTCATACCTCTAATACTTCAAGGGTCTGCTCTAGACAGCGTATCTTACACAGATGCATTCAGTTTTTTTTAGAGCGAGCTTTCACTGTGCAGTGCTGAGTAGGGCTAAATTCTAGTCTTATTTATACCAGTTTTATATTGATGTGACTGCTCTGGACCTTATTTTCAGTTGCATTGTTCTGTGAAGGGTCCTTTAAATCCATGTAATGTCTACCACCAGAATGATGTAAAGGGGACTTGGTGGGAATTGGAAGCTGGCCCACTGCCTTCAGCGGAGTTACTCCTGATTTATACCAGAGTCCATGAGAGCAGAATCAGGCCCATTCACCTTTGAAGTCAAATGTCTAGGAACTCTTATCCTTTATCTAAGGTATCAGTAAATCACTCAATATCTGAGCAAACATTTATTTTTCACTGCTGTGCTCCCTCTCTAATACTGGGGAGGAACAGAGGAGACTTATTTATTTAAAATATACATTTTCAAATGACAGGAGTTCTCTGCAGACAACTCGCCTAATTTGCATTTCATCCACCGATCTTAATGCACTTTACAAACATTGAGCGCTGAAGTATGGCTGGAGCATGATGTGCTCTGAGTAAAGGGGCAGGCTTTAGTTATATCATCCTTTGAGCAACTCAGAAGGGAAACTGTGATTCACTCTATTAGGTGGGTTCCTCCCTCTACACTATTTAAACAGCTGATTGTGCTGAGTGTAGACCCAAGCATAGCACATACTGCCCAGAACACTGGTGCCTCTATTTTCCTAGCAATCTTAGGGGTTTTTCTGCTGTGTCCATTATACTCAAATGCCCTCTGTATAAGATCAGCCCCACTTAAAGTTTCTGGACCACTGAGTCTGCTTTCTTTTCATAGTAAAATCTTGGGTTGGGTATTTTTATTCATTTGTGATGGCTGACTTTTTTGCTACAGATTTTCTTTTCTAAATATTCCTAGTAGCAGCAATGGTGATTTGTCATTGGGGTGACATTTGGGTAGATGAAGGTAGATGCTGTGTACAGTGTGGTGGAGTATATTGCTAAAATCTCATCTATTGAAAATATGCTGTGTCATGGAAATCTAAGGGTAGACTCCTATTTTGCTGTATGCAGCCAAATGGCACTTACCCAACTGTGTAACTTCTAGGGTTGTGCGAAGCTTTGATCGCTAATTCGATTCAGCAGAGAGTCAGCCCGATTTCAGTGGCCAAATCTCTGAATCCAAATCAAATCAGGAGACACTTTAATTTCTCTGAATTGATTCGGAACACTCTGAATCGATTCAGAAAGATTCGATGATTCAGACATAGACACAGCTTTAAATGTTTTTTCTACATACCTCTAGGTAGCAGGAGGCTCGTGAATGCTGCGATGCTGGGGCAGATGGAGTGTCCTATGGGAGCACGGGGGGCTCCCCAGCATGCTCAGCAGCAGACCTGGAAGTGGACGAGAAGCACTTCCAGTCCACTTCCAGGTCTGTGGGGGAGCGCACTGGGGGCCCCCCACCTCTCCACCCCAGCTTGGCGACTGGTGCCTCCTGGATCTGGGGGTGCACCCAGGGTCCCCCCATGGCTGATTGCCAAGCCAGGAGGGAGGGACATGGGGGGAGGGGGCCCATGTAATCCCCCACAGACCTGGAAGTGGACCGAAAGGCCCCCCTGCGCTCCTGTGGGACGCTCCATCTGCCCTACCATCTCAGCATTCATGAGCTGTGCCTGGTACCTCGAGGTATGTAGAAAAAAAATTTAAAGCTTTGCCTATTGCTGAATCGCTGATTCTCTGAATCAGCATCAACTCTTCAGATTTGGATTTGGTCAAATTGAATCAGGGACAGTGATCCAAATCAACAAATCAAATCGCTCTCCCCGATTTGGCCTGAATCTGAATCTGAGTTGAATGTGGCCCATATTGCACACCCCTAGTAACTGTTGTCTTTGGCACTTCTGCCTAGTGAGCATTTACTGCATGTGGAGTGAGCATTGCAAAGCTACTGAGCATTTGCAGCAGGCTGCCCTCTAGCTGGGCGGGTACACAGCTCCATACATGTATATTGTGGCAAGCATAAGGGCCAAAGTTGCGGTCAGGCAGAACAAACCAAAAACTGACTAGTGGGGAGGGTAGAGGTGAAGGTATGACAGGGCAGCTTCTGGGAATTATCATGTATCTGGTTTAAATGTGTTCATGTTGTAACAATGCTGCATGTCTCTGTTTACCTCACTGGCTTGTAGAGCGTGGGGAGAGGGGAGAAGGGGTTAAGGGAGACTGGAGACAGAGCTGTCTTGCCTACCTGATGGGATGCACTTCCAACAACAACTGTGTTTTGCATATAAAATATGCACACATTGATATATGGCCTTCCACCAGTTAAAAAATGAGTCTTTCCATTGACTTCAAAAAGCTTTGGAATGGGACCATAGAAGTATACAAATGAAGGGTCACTTATTTCTTTTCTGTGATACAAAGCCAAAAGTACATTTCTGTGATTTTCTTTTATTCTCTCTCAACTGTTTATAATGAATTAAAAACAAATTTGGCAGGTGACTAATTTTCTGCTGCAGTATTTGATGTCAGGAATTTCTAGAACCTTTCAGGATATTTTCCCTGTGTTTTAGGAAAGGGATAAGTTCTACCTGACCCGAAGTGTCATCCTGGAGTTACTGCAAGCACTGAAGTTAAAATCCCCCTTACCAGATACAAACCTGCTGCTGCTGGTACAGGTAAGTAAATATGCTTTTCAAAGTCTTCCATGCTATCCAGGGGTTGTGAGTATTAAAGTCCCAATTCAGCAAAATGCCTAAGAAGTGTTTCAAAAAAGAACCTGACAAGGAAAAGTTAAACCTACACTTCCACTAAAGGCGTTAAAAACTAAGGATTATATTTGCAAATTGTGCTTATATTTGGATACCTGACTCAATATGTAAGCACCTAAGTGACCCAGTTTTCAAAAGTGCTGATGACTCACAGTACCTTTGCTTATGTCCTGGTCTACATACTACATCCCAAAGGAGCTGCAGTTATAGATGTGTCTTAGGGTTCATATCATAGCTCTCTAGCCAGTCAGGCGGTAGTCCTAGAGCAAGAAGAACTAGTTGGAGTAGAGTAAAGATCCCATTTCTTTTTTCTGAGAAGCAGCAAAGTTGCTTCTGGTCCATGAAGGATCTTCTCACTGAGAGGATTCTTTTAGCAAAGGATATACCAGGTGGCATGTCTGCTCCCCTTACCATGCTTCTGGCCCAAGGCAAAATTTTAGCTGAGATTTTTCAAAGAAGCCTAAGGGCAGTAGACATTTAAATCCTACTGAAGGTCAGTGCGAGGTGGTTGGTCTCTTGGGCTAGGTGCAAACATTTAAAAATCTTGAGACAGAATTGATCTAAGTCACGTGGTTTTCTGTAAGCAGCTTAGTTTAGATCAGTACTGATCTGAACACATATTCACCCCTTCATGGGGAGCAAATCTTAAATCTTAGTTTTGCCATTTTAAAACCAGTTTTGTGTGCCAAATTTCTGTTCTGTTATGGGTCTACATCAGTTTCCAATCACTTATACTGGTAAAAGTGTAATGTCTGTACCTGGCCTCAGGCTTCTTTGAAACCCCCCAGTTTTAATAATAATAATAAAATAATAATAATAATAATAATAATAACCTCTCCTACCTGTTCAGGTGACAAAATTGGAGGTGAGCCTGAGTTATAAGATGCAAGTTTGGGGCTTGGAGTTCCCGAGAATTCCAGGCTGACTGAGAGCTCCATTGCCCTTACCAGACTCACTCTATAAACAATTTTTAAGGAGTCCTGTGATTCCAAACTGGGAAAAACAAGCCATCAAGCAGTGGCCATTCTTTTGAGGACCAGCAGTTTTGAACATGGCTGGTTGGCAGTACAGCTTCCTGCACTGTGCAGTTGGCTTGTCATTGTTTGCATTCAGTAGCTTAAAAAAGACAAGGAATCAGCATAAAAGTGACTCTTATGGTCCAAGCAGTCTGAGCTCTGTTAATGTCCTCCTTGGGTCATTTCCAGTCTGCCTTGCATCACAGCATTTCCCCCCTTAATGTGGCCAGTGCTATGTCTTAACATATGTTATTATGAGCTGATCCTCTTGTGAGTACTGGTACATTAGTCATAGAAAATAAGCAGTTGCCACTTGACTGAAAAATAACATTGACAGTTTAAATTATATAGCAGTTAGAACGACTCTGAAAACAGTTATTATAACATCAGGGAAGGAAAATGAAAAAAAAAATTTTTTTTGGGTGTAGGAGCACAAAGGCGATTTTAATTAAAAAAATCAGAATTGCTTTAATTAAAAAAATCACAAAATTATTTTTAAGGCATGGATTTCTATTTTCAGTGTCAGTAAAAACTGCATTAGTAATTGTAAAGGTGAAGAGTGCATGACTCGGGGAATTATTATTGGGAGATAGGTTTCTTCAAAACACTGACTTAAATCCACACTGATGTATAGTGACCCAGGTTGTTACTAGCTGAGGGCTGCTCAGAGCATATGGCATGATTATGTGAGGTATGCAGTGCCCTCAGTGCCCCTTAGCTGCAGCGAACTTCCACTGAATTATAGACTATGCCATTCTTACTTTTCTGTACTGCTTCATGTATGTGGCTGTGGGTTTTAGCATGTAAATACTTTTTACCCTTTGGGAACTGGACAATCTTGTGTGAGGTTGACAACCAGTTATCTGAGTATCTGATCCAGTTCAATGCCGAAAGCTTAATGGGAGCTGGAAATTGAACCCAGAGCTGTTGGTTCCCTCCCATGGTCTAGCTACTAAACACAACTCTTTTATGTAGTGGAGAGAAGTAGAAAACCATTTCTAGGGCTTCCCAGCTAGCACTGTTCCTATACACTGCATTCACTTTGAGGGTAATGTAGGAAATCAGCTAAGAAAATCACAAATAATATAATTTTAGTTTTCCTTCAATATCTGTGAGTTGTTTCAGTTTGTCACACTACCCTGAGAAGCTCCTAGAGAATTCACATTCACTTGCAATATCTTATGTTCATAAAATCTGTAGCAGTGGTACTGCAAGACACATGGAAAAACAATTCACTTCCAAGAACCTTCCTTCAGAAGCCCCCTCCTCCCAAAGCTGTTAGCATGTGCATAATCCTCTCTGTGTGCAGTGCATATAGAAGACAGATTCAGTCAAGTTGATCAAGATAAAAAGGAGGGTAGAAGCACTTTATTTTAATGATGGATTGGGTGTGGGCTGGATAACAAAGGAATTCCTGGAGTACACATTTGACACCCACATTCACTTCAGATTACTCACTACCGTCAGGGTAACTGGTGACATAAACACTAAATGTGATGGGAATTATTTTACCAAACTTTATTAAAAGGGGAATGGGTAACCGTGGAGACAAATGATGCCTTGCTATGCTACAGATGCCCCTGGTAGGTTAGAAGAGAGACGGGCAGTCCCTTCCCCAGCACCCTCCCTGTGAGTGACTTCTGTAATGCATATGCTTGTGCTCTCCAGGGAAGTTGAACCCTCTGTAGGAGCCCCACACACGGCTCTGTGTACATCAATTAAGTCCCGCTTAAAAGGGCTTGGGGTGACCCATTGCACAGGGGTGAATGTCAACCTGACCTGAAGTGTGAGAGAGTCCATTCAGCTTAGCTGTACTATGCATTGCAGTCCAGAAACATTCAAACTAGATTCTGCTTGTCCATTGAATCAGAAAGGTGCTTTATGCTCTTGGTTTGTTTTTTTTAAAGGTGTTTAATTGATATATACACTAATTCACAAAACGCATTATTTCACCCCAGGGCTCTCGGTCCTTTGTGCTAATTAATAAGTTTTTATTGTAACAAAACTGAGGTTGATGCTAGGAGATGCTGAGTAGAAGTGGTGGAAATTTTTTATCTAAAATATTTTTTGAAGAGAAATACTGGTCTTGCCAATAAGATGGAATTCTCTGTAGAAAGATCCATTTTGAGGATTTTTTTCAGTTTTACATTGCAAATATAAAGTATCCAAACTCAGCAAGCCCCCAAGCATAGCTACTTTTCCCTGTTGTAGCTACATTTAAGCCAGTGACCAAATGCATATAATTGGGAGGGGTGGCCCTGTGCTTTGATGAAACCCTATTTGTGTGGATTTTTTTTCATGGAACACTAAACAAACAAGATGATCCCTCCCCGTCCCCCAACCAGAACATGAGAATTCCCAACCATCTCTAATGTGGAGCATTCCTATTGATTTTAATTGGCAGGCAACTCTTAGCACGATTTGCTTAGTACTTCTAAGGACTGGGTGCCAGCTTCTCCAGTATCTTCACTCCATTGTTTTTAAACAGAGGTTTCTTTAGCTGAAAGGTCCAGTGGTTCAGAAAAAAACTAATCTGCACTCTATATTCCCAACAGTAAATCTTAGAATTTGAAGGCTTCAATCTGGTCTGGAATTTACTGATTAATGTGTGTATTTGCTAGACTGTAGCATATTATTAATTTCATTTTGTTACTAATCTAACAGAAGAGCTTGCTAAGTTATTGATGTAGCTATAATCACATTGGCTCTTCACAAATGACTATTTACAGACTCAGAAAATGTTGGTTCAGATCCTTTAAATGCAGTTTCCCAAATTATAACATTTGTTCTCTAGATTCCTCAGGGTTGTATTGTTTTTCTTTTATTTTCCTGTTTTATTAGTTGCATATTGCTGTTGAAATTAATTAGTGCATATGAGTAATTATATTCTGGAAACTGATCACTTTAAAATTAATACAGGCATCTGTTTTAGGCTCTTGTAAATTCTTAGTTTGTGGGTTTATTTTCGAACGATCTTGTGACTTGTTTGGTCAACATACAAATTTTCTCCAACACAAGGTTCACTTACATCTTACCAGGAAACCAGTTGCCTTCTCAGTTTCCATACCCAGTCTTTAATTAGAAGATATTGGTCCAAGCCATTCATAGAGGAACTACTTTTTTAACCAGCATTGTGAATCCCAAGGTTTTAGCCTCTCCTTTTCTTACTAGTGTAAATTTGCAGTTACTTCATGGAAGGCAATGAGATGAGATTTGTGATAGCACCAAGGTCAATGCCCCTGGTGGTTTCCATAAGAGTCAGGCCTTGGTTTTATTTTTTTTCAGTTGACATGTATTTATTATTCCTTTTTAACAATAAAACCTTGGAGGTAGCACCCATGATGGGCCAGCTCTTCAATTAGCATAAAATGGCATAGTTCTATTGCTTCTGACTTACCTCATTGTAGTATCTCACCCTCTGAATAAAAGCATAATTCATATCTGTTATCTAAGATAAAGATTCCCTGGAAGGTATTTCTTGACAATAATGTTTTAGAACTCGGAGTATGAGTATGTGTAAAGATAAGGAGTAATGAATAAATGGTCTTGTCTGGGGTGGGGGAGTATATGTTGCATATTAGATATTTCTCCCACTCAAATTCAGCAGACAAGACTATTTATTCATTACTCTGCAACTTTATCTCCATTAGCAGACAACATTAGGAAGAGACACAACAGATATTTGCCTATTCCCCATACTTTAACAGTGTGACTTTTTTTTCATATGAGTGATGTTAAATCTGTTGCCAGTGGCATATTGATGCCTTGTGGTATTTGTAGGGAGTTGAGATGAATGACAGGAAGTGGAATTGAAAATGAGAAATGTTTCATTTTGAGCCTTCTTCTGGCTTATCCAACCTTTCTTCACTGCTGTGCTGCTCTGAGAGGATTTTCACAGCTGCAGGCCAGATGTGACAAAGGATAAGCTGAACAGCACTTAATTGCTCATTACAAACTTTATGGATGTTGTCAACCATTGTTGGTGTTTAAATTAATTTAGGTTATATAACCTGCCCTTTGAATGTGTTGCATGCTGTAAGTTAATACAATTTCAATGCAGCCTTTATAAGACAATAATATTTAAAGTAAGCAATGCTTCTCCTTAGCAAGACCGTCCACTTAAATAGATTTGAAATACCTGGCCAGAGTCAGGGTTTGGGTGACCTTGTCTGAACATTACCCTAAACATATTGATTTCTCTTTGTGCTGTTTACCTTTCAAGAACAGACTTCTAAGTCTGATGCATGAGTGTTCCTAAGTTCTTGGTATGTAATATGAAGATTCTTGTTGAAATATATTATAAGAAGGTGTAAGTTATGAGTGGCTAGAAATGATGCTTCTAGCACCATAGGGGACCTTAGGGACAAGAGGTAGGACAATCAATAATAACCATGATACTAAACCTGTGCGCTACATTACTGAAATTTATGACAAGATTGGTGTCAGAACATAAATTGCCAAGAAAGAAATCTAGGTTTATACTTGTGAACCTTGTATTTCTGCTTGCTTTTTGGAGGGATGACATACTGCTTTTGCAATGGACAGAAACTGAATTGCTCAAGGACAAGGTTAATGTTAGGATAGCCAACTCTGTGGAGCAGACACAATCTTTTCTGTAAAGTGTCTAGCACAGTATTTCACCTATATAGAAAATAAATAGCAATATTCAGAGACCCTTTTTCTGAATAGCTTGGGTATTGGAGATTGGGGTTGGGAGGAAGTGGGCAGAGGAGTTAGGATTATATAGGAGTGAAAAAAAGGGAATGGAGGAAAATAAGGGAAAATTAAAGCATCATAAAAATCCAGGGAAACCTAAATTAAGCCCAGAATTTAGTGGGTTTGACTCGGGCATTGCTTAATTCTTTGGGTTGTGTTATGCAGGAGGTCAGACTAGATGAATATAATGCTCCATTCTGGATGTAAAATAAACTCATTTAGTGCATCCATAGTGTAATTCCAGGGCAATCGCTAGAGTCACACAAGTGATGAATATTTCTGCCTTATCCTCTGTTATGTCTGAACTCAAGATTTCCTGCACAAAACAGTATATGCATGCCAACTTGTGTACTTTAAAAACAGTTGGTTCATCTGGGAATTAATTGGCTTATAACAGCAGACAAATTAGTTTGTTTATAGTGGCAGAACTAGTTCTTTTGTGTCCGAAGGCAGATTGCTACAAATGTAAGCAAGAAGAGTTGAGCTGAGCTTAATAAAATAATAAATTACTTATTACTGTCTTCAGGCTCCTGCAAAAATAACTCATCTTTAATTTCTTATTAGTTTGTTTGTGCAGATGCTGGAACAAAACTAGCTGAGTCGACAATCTTGCACAAACAGATGATTGCATCTATTCCTGGAGTAAGTACTTACCCAAACTCCCTGCCTGTGTTTCTGCTTTTTTAGAAGTATGTCTGCTTCAGTGTTGATCCTCAGCTTATTTTGCTAGATCTGCCTTCCTCTCACCTTTATTTCTCTTCTGGTTTGACAGGTGTACCGAGTGTAGAAACTGAGATGCTTCTCTTTTATAAGCCATTAACGAAAACTTTTAAGTAACACAACTTGATAGTGCAGCCCTTACTTGCTTGAGTAATTATTATTCATGCAACAAGCACCACAGATGTAATGGGGTACTCCTTCAAATGAGGGTCACTTTGTCATTTTCTAGAGGTTCAACTATATATGGAGAGGAGACCAACTAAATGATCCCCAGAAAAGTCAGACAAAATGGGAGGTTTCAGGCCATTGCTTCCTCTCCCCAAAAAGTCATGCATGGGAGCTTTTGGCATCTTTTCCGTGATATTTAGAGTATTTAAATCTATTATGCTTATGTGTGTAGCTGAATTACCAGTAGTTAGGTGGCTAGATACCAATCTGGGGTCTGACTTATTCATTCCAAGTCTGCTCCATGATTTGCAGAATCTCTTTATCCATATGCAAGTCTCATCCAGACCTAGAGATGGCCTAAAGGAGTCTTCTGTATCTAACAACTTGGTGTCTGTGATTTTGAATGCTGAGCTCCACTGATAATTAACATTCCTCTAATGGAACCTCTTTATTTTATTTTGATGAAGGTAGCCAGGTTGGTCTTGGTATAACAAGGCATGAGAGAAATTGATCACTTCAGAAGAAATCTCGGAGGAGAAAATTTTTCTGTTGTTTGAATGCATCATGTTACTGCTGAGAGCAACTGAATAAATAGTCAGCTTGAAATAGAGCATTATTATTCAGGAGATTTGAGTACAATAGCTTTTATAATTCCATCACTCAATTTAAAAGAACCAATGTGGAATCTTTAGTCCACATAAACTGGATGGAGGACACTCTGACAGGGCTGCCAGCGACCTTATTTTACTGTTTGTTATCCTGTCAAGGGAACTGACAGGCATAGCATTTGAAGAGACAGAAGGTGCTATAGTTCACCACCATGTAGATTCATATTAACATAGAAAAATGAGAAACACTCAGGTCAGCTGCTTAAGTATAGAATTTGACCAGATTTTCAAATTTCAGGAACAAAAATTCAATTAAAGCTAAAGTAGTTTATGACCAAAACCAACTCAGACTGTTATACATGCTCAGATAAGAGTGTTTGTTTTCCATGCTCCAGGGTTTTTACACAGGAGATGAAGGGAATGCTCTCTGCTAACATACACTATTGCTTTATGGGACAGGAGCATTGTATGTTCCTTTGAAACCATATATATCAAACAGTCTTGTAAGCCCTGGCTTATTTTTGAGAAAGCAATGATTTACGCTGTTAAAGTAAATCTTGTGTTCATTACATCCACAATAACTAGGCCTTTAGGAAAGCTCAGGTTTTCAGAAGTCCAGAGTATCCACAGCTCTCATTGACTTGGCTAGAATTATGGGCTACTCAGGTGGCTTGTAAAACAAACCCTTGTATTCAAAGACTCCTGCGTAGTCTGACTTATGCCTTATTTTAGTTTGGCAATTTAATATATTGCATTTCTCTGCATGCACTTTTCATGTCTTTCACTAACCACAAGCTGGAGTGGCACAGATTATTTCTGTGACTTGTGTTAGGAGCTATGTTGAGGTGCATTGGTCAGTAAGAGCACATGGACAAAATTGTGCTAGTTTGGTCCCAGCTCTCATCTTGCCATACAGGGCACATCTACATGTGCCCCTATGGTGCCGTTGTTACTGTGCCATCATTTAGTACTTCCTTTAGGCTCCTTTAGGAAGTACTAAATAAGATTGCAGTAACAGCCATTACTGAACCGTGTTGGTGGTGCATGGTTATTTTTAACTGCCATGTCACCAGAACGATGAGCTGTAGTGAGGGAGCATGTTGCTACGGTGATGTAGCTGTGGCATCACAGTTTAAGCATCTCGTGTAGACGCACCTTTAGCACAGACTATTTCTTCTTCTATGCCAACTCTATTGCATCTCCTATCCATTTGTGAAAGAAGTACAGGGAGTTCATGCAGTAGGGTGACATGTAGGTTGGCTCATGACTGAGTTTTATGATGTCACTAGCCAATTGCCCATCAAGAATTACCGGGGGGTGGGGTAAGCAGCGGGCAGGGATGGAGCCCTGTGCCCTCCCCCACCCCGGGCCCACTCTCCCCTTCCCTCCTGCTGCTTGGGGTCCAGGCCCATTCCACCCCTCCCTGCCCAAGCGGTGGGGGGAGGTGAGCGCGCCCGGGCCCGATGCAGGGAAGGACTGGGCCTGAGGGTAGGGAGAACCTGGGCCACCACAGCAGGGGGGTGGGGTGGAGCAGTGGGCCTAGGCCAACCTGGCGGCGGCAGGGGGACAGGACGAGCAGGCTCAGGGCCGACATGGGGGTGGGGGGAGGGGAGGAATGGGCCTGGGCCCAACATGGGCTGGGAGGAGGACCAAGCCCAAGTCGGAGGAGAAGCCGGCGCGCTGCGGCCGTGGCCCCCCACGTTGGACCTGCTTCTCCCCCCACCACTGGAAAATGCCAGCTTTTAGTTTTCACATTTTTTTTGACTACAGAAATATAAGAGCAGTTTCTCTGTTGCAAATTACTCAAAGGCCACAACTATGGATTTCTATTTGAAATCTCTGGGCTTATTTTATGAGTCCTGTTTGCAAATCTAACAGTGCTAACATTGTGTGGCACCCTGAGGCACCCCAGGGTGTCATGGCACCCTGCTTGAGAATCACTGCTCTAACAACTAGGGCTGTGTCTAGCTGTTGAGACTATTTTGTTACAATTGTTTCTTTTAAAAGAAAATGTCTATGGTTGGTAGGACCTTTTGGATTCTTCAGAATATGTCATGCTGCCCACATTTTGTAAAAATCATTTTAATGTTCCTGTGAAATCATTGAATGTTTGCTCAGTGAAAGAAACTTTCAGATTTTATCTTTTATAAAAATTCAACAAATTGAAATGGTCAATTTGAAATGGCAATAAAATGCTGACATTTTGCCTCGTTTGATTGCTAGTGTAAACATTCCATTAGTTTGATTTCTCCTAGCAAAAAATATTGGTGCCACATCCATCTCCGTTAACATGCAAAAACTATGCAAACAATGATTAAACAGAATTTTTTCTGGACTTATTCATATGAACAATGGCAGTAGGCCTATGATTTTAATTTCACTTTTTTATGGCTTGGTTCATCAGTTTCACACAGAAGAATGATCAGCTACTTAAAGAACAAAGTATTAGAGAGCATTATCCAAAGGCTATTAAAGCCATTCTTTTAATGGACTTTGATTTAGGTCTAGTAAAAAGTATAAGGCTTATGTTCTGCCGATATTCATAAAAAGATCTTTAGTAAATCTTTATTATAACCACTGTGAGAAGTTCTGCGATGGATGAAGCAGCTACTGACATTAGTGCAGGATACCACTGAACATAAAGCCACAAAGAATATTTATTTTCAGTTAGAAGATGAGTAGACAGCAACTGTAAAGAACCTGAGGCAGACAAGAAACAGATGTGTTTTCAGTGAACAGGAGGCAAAGCCAAAAAAAAAAGAATATGTCAAAAGTGGATGATTATACTTGTTTCTTTTCACTTTAGTGTGGAACAGCAGCAATGGAATGTATGAGGCAGTATGTTGGCGAAGTGCTGGATTTTATTGCTGATATGCATACCTTAACTAAACTGAAGGTGAGTACAGGACAGGGATATATTTACCCAAATTATAGTAACTTTTGCATTTTTGGTAAATTACATAGCTGGAGGGAACCCCTATGAAAATGACTGACACCATTCTTTCTTAGGGCCCTGCCCCTTGTCCAAATTAAAGCTGGACAGAAACCAGCTATTAAGTTGTTACACATTTTCAAGCACTAACTGTAGCTGGTTGACTCTTTTTATAGCTGGATGGATATTGTTATGGCACAATATTTACTTTGCACATGTGGTCAATCTAAATTTATTGTGTGATTATCACATGGTTAATTACTTTGCACGTGTGGCCAGTCTTACTTTACATGTGTGGCTGGTCTAAATTTTTTGTACAATTAACCAATTCACTGTGTAATATATGTAATGTGTGGTAGGGGCCTTATAGATTAGTCATTTCTCAAAGGCCAGAAAGTAACTTAGGTAGAGAACTGAAGGGAAACGTGATTTGGATATGAAAAGATTACAGATAAAAATGTATGTCTGATTTTAGTGAGAAGTGGATGGTAATGAGAAGATAATATCATATAAAGAGTGCATTGCAAGAGATAATCCAGCTGAAAATGACACAACAAAACATACATTTCCTTATTTGTGTTACTAATTACATTTTAATGTTAGAGCTGCTATATTTATCCAATATTTATTAAAATACATAAAAATTAAAATGATTTCCTTATGTATAATTTTGTTTGTTTATTTTGTTGTATTTTTCACAGTTTAGATAGTGGAAATAGACTAAGTTTCTAGCCCATTTGTAGTATTATTTTTTATTTTCGTGCATTAGATTGATTGATGTTACAAATATGACAGAAAAATGTTTATATCAAAATAAACCCAGTAGATTAAATCAAACAAAACCAAATAATGTTGATATTTCCTATAAAAGTAGAAATTCAGATTTTTAAAATTTCTGTATGACGTCAAAGTGTTTCAAATAGTTCCATTATAAGACTGAGATAACTTGTTCTAAAAATGAAGATAAGCTATTTTAACTGGTACTAACTGGCAGGTGCCATTACTGATTTAAAAATTTAATAGAAATAATAGGAAACTATTATAAGAATAAATTTTCTGACATATTAGTAGTGAGGGCATGTAGTAGACAGTACTGTATGAAAAATAAGAACGACAATATAAAAAGCAACAAAAAATTTGAAATGAAATTTTCTGTAACAAAAATCATGTTGAATATATTTTCTAGGGGATTTTTTTTCATACTACTGGTGAAATAACACAGTAGCCAGATTGCATCGATGTGATCTAAAGCTCACTTAACATGCACATTTCTACCAGTCTTTCTTAAGTTTAGCAAGAAAACCTATGCCCATTGTTCACACAGTCATCCCTGACCTGTGATATGCATAGTTCTACAGAGGCTTCTCTGTTAATCTTAGATTTGTTTTTAGTCTGAAAGGTTGCTGGTTTTTTAATAACATTCTTTGCAATCAAGATCAACATATAGTGAAGGGCTGTACAATAAACACCATCTTCCAAAGAGATGACTTTGCAGCTTCCCTGAAAAGGTCTGCTATGGGGCTGTATCAACCCTTTCCCAAAAGCCTTTGACAGCGTGCTGGGTTTCATCATGCTACTAGTTCACCTTGTAGCATGAAAACCTTAATGCTCATGAACATCATATTGCAGGGCAAGACGCCTAGCTCCACAAATGAGTAGGGATAGTGAGTGAACTTGCTTATCCGGAAATGCACAGGATATTTATTTTAATGGAAAAAAATATCTTCCCTAAGTCCTTACCCTATTGGATAGCTGTCCCAAACCTTATTGAGTTTTTGGAATGCTTTGTTAGGGGAAGCTGCTTTTTTCTCTTTTGTGTGGAGGTAGTGATCCATTTTAAAGCATGACCTAATTAATCATTTTCAACCAAATTGAATTCCTTTCCCACTCTATCTTTTAAAAATAATTATTCACACATTTTTTATTCCATTCAAAATTGCTTTCCAAAAAACCTAACAAATGAATCAGTGGTGAGAGACTCATCAGGTTTGCTCATCCCACAGAAAAACATGAATCTGAATAAAAAATGGAAACCATTTATTTGTAAATACCTTCAGATGGCTGCTCAGGGAATGCTGTCTTTTGCCTATTTTCCCTTCATGTCTACTTATCAGTTGTGATCCTTTTCCTCCAAAACTTCATGCAAGTGCTTGACTTCAATTAGATGCATAGTCTTTTTCAGTTCAGTGTGACTATTCCTTTGGCCCTAGGTATCTCCAGAACATTTGCTTAGTCTTTATATAGTTAGTGACGGATCTGAATTAAAACCAGTGTCTTAGACTTCACATTTCCATTTCATTATGGAACAAAATTAAACTAGTAAAAAAAGTCCTAAACTTTCTAGCCTGGAGGGTTGAATGTTGGATTAGAATCAAAGCATTCCAGAATTTTAGATAGTTTGGATTTAACCCATATGAATAATTTATCAAGCAGTTTGAAGTAATGCAAAAGTCTGCCAGCTAATATGACTGTTATTTTATAAAACGTGACAACTTAGTTCTGTGTTATCTTGGCTAAGTACAGATGCTCAAAAAGCTCAAGGCTAAATTGATTCAATCTTCAGTGGTTAGTCTAAACTGCGTAGTTTGAACCAATATGCAAGTGACCAGATATTCACTTTTGATTCAGGAAATGCAGCTTGGGACAAGGTTAGCCTGCTCACCCTGCAAAAGGGAGTTTGTGGGGAGGTGCAAAACATCCTTGGATGCTGGAGGACTGTGAGTTAATTTGAATCTGGAGGGGATCTGGGACAGAAGTTCAATAAACCAGCTTAATCTAAATCTGTTAGGTTTTGTAGATTCATAGACATTAGGGCTGGAAGGGATCTTAGAAGATCATCGAGTCCAGCCCTCTGCCCCAGGGGCAGGTAGTCAGCAGGGATCATAGGATCCCAGCAAGATAAACATCCAAATGTCTCTTGAAGGTGTTCAAAGTAGGTGCTTGAACCACCTCTGGCAGCAGTCCATTCCAGACCTTGGGGGCTCGGACAGTAAAGAAGTTCTTCCTTACGTCCAGCCTGAAACGGTCCTAGAAGAGTTTGTGACCATTCGACTTTGTCATCCCTTGGGGCGCTCTGGTGACCAGACGTTCCCCCAGATCCTGGTGAACACCCCTGATAAACTTATAGGTGACCAGCAGATCACCCCATAGCCTGTGCTTTCCCAGGCTGAAGAGTCCCATGGCTCTCAGCCTGTAATCATAAGGTATGTTTTCCTGGCCTCTGATCATGCACGTGGCTCTCCTCTGCACTCTCTCAAGCTTCTCCACATCCTTTTTGAAATATGGAGCCTAAAACTGGATGCAATACTCCAGCTGCGGCCTCACCAAGGCCGAGTACAATGGGAGATTGACATCCTAGGATTTGCTTGAGAAGCATCTATGGATGTAAGCCAGCGTTTTGCTGATACTAATACTACATGCATCCAGGTTCATCTTAAGCCAGTTTCTGCCATTTTGAAAGCAGTTTATGTGCACTGAACTTTGTTGTGATACAGATTTGAACTGATTTCTGATCACTTGTACCAGTTTGTGTAATTTCTGTCCCTAGCCTCAGGAACATGTAAAGATATGTGTATACCTAGTAAAATGGGTGTATTTGGGAAGGCTGTGATGTATTTACTTTTTATTTACTTCTGTAATTCATTTTCAGAGGAACACAGTGCATGTCTCCTTTATAGCTGGCTGTAACATGGTTCACCTGCGGGGGTGGCCAACTTGCTCCTGTAGTACTCTGTTAGCCCTCAGCCTTGACACCTCTTAGGCAAAACTCTCCTTCCTTCACCTGCCATGCCTTGTTGGTATTAATCTTTACAAAATGGGAGGCTGCCCCAGTGCTTCCCAAGCCTGATCTTGCCTTAAAGGGTAATTGTGTGGCTCTGTCTGCTCCTACACCACACCCCATATCTCACAGGTGTGATCACGGATGTTGATTCAACTTCCTGGTGGCCTGCTCTTCCTGGGCACTTTGCCTCTCTCAGCTAATCCCGAGTGCAGCCTTCCTGCCTGAAGTCACACATTCTGCCCCTCTTCAGCTTCAGGCCCCTGTCCCTTACCTCTGTCCCTTATGAGCTCTCAGTCACCCTAGTTCCATACTCAGCCCCTCTCTGGACTTGTTGATCCCTCTGGACCTCCTCCACCCCTTAGTCCCTTCACTAAAACCTCTAGACTGCCACAGGCTGTACTCTGCATGCTGGCATCCTGGAGCTATAGCTGTCCTGCTTAGGCAGCATTCCCTCAGCAGCCTCCAGGGCCCTTTTGCCTGCTCAGTTCAGGGCCTAGGCTTATACCGTCTCTAAACCCAGCCCCCTCCAGGGTCATGTGGCCCCAGTTGCCTTCCTGTTGTACCAGCAGCCTTCCTCAGCTGCAGCCTGCTAGCTCTTAAAGCCTCTTTCCACACTGGCCAAATACTACAGAAGTAAACTTGCATTATCTGGGTCCATACTCTTTTACACTCATTTGACATGAACATTCATTTTGATGTTGATGGGGTTTTGTTAGATCAAATGTTCCTGGGAAGTAGATTTTAGGATTATACACTTTATTAGAGGTATTCTAATCAAAAGCCTTTGTTCCTACTAATGAAGAGGACAGGAATGATATCATGTGATTTATATGACCAGTCACAACCTAAAAACATAACTTTGATTTTGGATTTCAGATGTTGCAGTAATCTTCCTTGTGGTAATCTAGAAGACTATTATGCATTATTGTTAATGCAAACATTTGAGGAGTTTGGTGCTTTTTTGTGAATTTGCTCCATATTTTGTGTCCAGTGTTGTCTATTGACAAAGTGATTGAAGGTGAACAGACAGTCCCTGAAGATTTGAGTAATGCGGATCTAACAAAATGCTCCACTGCTTTGCAGAGTCACATGAAGACGTGCTCTCAGCCACTGCATGAAGATACATTTGGCGGGCACCTGAAAGTTGGCTTAGCTCAGATAGCTGCCATGGAAATTACACGAGGAAACCACAGAGATAATAAAGCTGTGATTCGTTACTTGCCATGGCTGTACCATCCTCCTTCTGCAATGCAACAAGGGTAAGGGCACTGGTTTTCCTGAAAAGGAAGAATAGTGAGACATTCCCCCAAGAATCCTGAAGTTATACTTAGATTAAAGGGATGGCTGTGAGGCACCCCAACACTATTTATAATACTGTCAGAAAGAAGGATGACTTTTATGGGAAAGACACTGGACTTATACTAAGCAAATCTGAGTTCAGTTTCTGGCTCTGCCATAGTCTTTCTATGTGACTCCAGGCAAGTCAATTAGAGTTGAGTAATACAAGCACTTATACATGTGCTTACCATTAAGAGTATACATGGGTTTGAACATGCTGGGGCTACATCTGCCAGTGCTTCAGTTTCCTATGTGTAAAATATGTCCTGATCAGTTAAGGTCTGTGAAACCCCCAGGTCTTCTGGGGCTGAATAACCTAGTGGAGTCAATAAATAAAATAAATGTATTCTAGTTATGCCTCATTGGCTCTGAGTTACTGACAATGACATTAGGTTAATAATGAAAAATGGCAATGAGAACCCAGCTAGGTAACGGTTTTGTACTACCATGATACTGACGTTATTCACAGTTTCCCAATAGCTTGTTAAATAGTTCCTAAATAGACTACTAGTGTTGGTGTTGATGGTGTTAGAGGAATAGCAGATAACAAGTACTTTGACAGGCTGTGGGGCAGAGTTGTACTGCTACACAGCAGATCCACAGGTGACAGATGGTGGAATGACCTTTAGGGAAAGTTAGCTGGAAATAAGCAGGGGTAACTCTGACGAATAAGCAGTTGCAGACCAAGCAGAAGCAGCAGCAACAGGATGCAGTGAGGACAGCAGATGGCAATGGTTTCCCTCCTGAAAAGCCACAAATCCTTTGACAGTGCTGTGACATAGCAAATATAGGTCACAACTATAATAAGACTTCCCAAACCCCCGCCATAGGTCTACAAGTCCTCTATGGCAGAGTAGGTAGAAGAAGATGTTAGAATCTCAATGACTGCAAAGGAATGGCTGCAATGGAACAAAATCCCCAGTTGTCTTCTAGATTTTGTAGACATTAGGGCTGGAATGGACCTCGGGAGATCATCGAGTCCAGCCCCCTGCCCGAAGGGTAGGAAGTCAGCAGGGGTCATAGGAGACTCTTACCAGGAGTCTCGCCATACCTGTAACTACTCAACAAGGCTTGCAGCCCCTTCTTAAAGGGACAGGCAACCCTGTTACAGGGACCTTTAAAAATCCACCTGTGAGAGCCTCTGCTCCACACAGACAGATGGATTGGCGGAGACATTTAATCAAACTTTTAAGGAAGTTAGGTGACAGGAGAACCCAAGAAATGGGATGTTCTTCTACCCTATTTGTTATTTGTGATCCAGGAGTTTTCCTAATCATCAATGGTGTTTTTACCTTTTGAACTCCTGTAAGGGGGAAAATCTTGTTATATTAGACCTCCCTCAGGAGGCTTGGTCTCCTTGCCATTGAATCAAGGTCCCATTATGTCAAGAGCCATGTGGAAGTTGATGCGCAGCAGCTTTTCCATGATAAAAAGTCAGGCACCAGGCACCTTCCGTGAAAACAGCTTTTCCAGCACATTTCTCAAGCCCTATGGTGACCAGCTAATGGTGACAGGAGCAGGATTGTGAAGTCTAGAAGCTCCTAGTCAGGAACTGGCATGAAGACGGCGGTTATAAGAAGGCTGTGTAGCACTTGGATGAGACAAGAGTGTGATTCGGCAGCTGTAACTGTTTCTGAGCAGCCTTCTTCAGGATCCACTCTGCTCACCCCATATGGCAGGGTGTGGGGGAGGGTGGCTAGAAAAGGTTTCCTAAACATACCCCATCTAATACAGTATTCTATATTTCTTTCTGACTGGATCACTGTGTCCAATGGGATCACCTTTACTGTAGTCAAAAATACCAGCAAAAAAACACTGTCATTTTTGGGACCTGGAACATCAGAACGTACATGGACAACACTAACAGTGAATGGCCAGAGCACCACACTGCAATCATGGCCCCAGAACTCAGGCAACACAACAGTGATGTTGCTACACTGAGCAAGATCCAGTGAGCAGGTGATGGGCAGCTCAAAGAACATGGAGGTGGCTATACCTTCTTCTGTAAGAGTAAACAGGAAGGAGAATGCTGACTTCAAGTAGTTGGTTTTGCCGTTAAGAATGAACTCATAAATTAACTGAATGAGTTCCGTATCAGATTTAAGGAGCACTTTATGACTCTCCATCTTAAACTGGCAGGGAGCCAGTATGTCTCTGTCATCAGTGCATATGTCCTGACTCTTGGCACCACCGATGAAACCAAGGAGGAATTCTACATCAAACTTCACCGAACCATTGGCAAAGAAGGAGCAGGAAAGGTCAACTCCAGTGGCATCCTCCTCTTGACCAAATGTGCAGATAATGGATGCATCATCACCAACAGCCTGTTCTGCCAGAAAAACAGGTACAAGACATCATGGTAGCACTCACAATCTAAGCAGTGACACCTAATTGACTATGTCATTATCCATATCCAGGATCACAAAGATGTCCACATCACTCAAGCTATACTAGGAGCTGATGACTGCTGACTCATCCACTTGGTTATGTCACTCAAACTGGCTCCTCAGACAACAGCTGCAGTGGAAAAAATGCTGACAGAAGATCATTGTTGAAGGACTCAAGGACCCAAGCAAGCAAGACCTCTTCCACCAGTGCCTCAATGAAAACTGGTGAATTCCAATCAACAACAATGGAAGTTGGGGCATGTGGGGTGCACTCAAGGCCACCTCATCAGTGCCTGTGAAGAGAAACTTGGATTCTCTATCAAGTAACATCAAGGCTGGTTTGATGGGAACAACCAGGAGATCCAGGAGTTGACTGTTTGCAAGCACATGGCCTTTGGTGCTTGGCAAAATGACACCAACTATAAGCAAAAGAAATTGAGTCTCCAACAAGCCAAGGCAGAGGTCTAAAGGAGGACCCACAATATGAAGAACAAATGGTAGGAAGACAAAACTAAGGAGATTCAACATCTTGCTGACATCCACCATATGCATGGCTTCTTCAGTGCCACCAAATTCATCTACGGTCAAGCACTTAGGGACCAACCCCCTTGCGACCTAAGGATGGCAGAGACCTGATCAAGAAAAGGGGAGCCATCAATGCCTATTGGAAGGAGCATTTTGAAGACCTTTTCAATTGTGAGACTCTGCTGTTGATGAGAATGTGTTCTCAACTCCATCCTGCAACACCCAGTCAGAGATGATCTCAGAATCCCTCCAACCCTTAACGAGGTGAGAAAAGCCATCATGCAGATAAAAACAACAAGGCATCTGGAGTGGATGGAATCTCCATTGAAACAAGGAGGAGAGGAGTTCACATCACAGCTTCATGCCCTCATCGTAAGGGTCTGGAATGATGAGGAAATCCCAGACAACCTCAGGGATGTCATAATTGTGACAGTCTTCAAGAAAAGAGGCAAATCCAACTATGGAGAGATCACCTTGCTGTCCACCACAGGAAATATCATTGCAAGAACACTTCTAATCATCTCCTTATACTTGCTGAAGAGCTCCTCCCAGAATCTCAGTGTGGACTTAGGGCATCAAGAGGCACAACTGGCATGTTCTTCACAGCTTTCCAGCTGCAGGAGTAATTTGGGAACAACATAAGCCTCTCTACATGGCCTTCTTTGACCTTACAAAAGCTTTCAACTCTGTGAGCTAAGAAATTTTGTGGAGAATCTTTTTCAAGTATGGATGCCCACTGAAATTTGTCACCATTCTCTGCCTGCTTCATGACGGTATGCGAATGGTGGTTCTCAGTAATGGATCCATCACAGCTCCTTTTGAGGTTAAAACAGGAATTAAACAAGGCTAATGATCTAATTAGACAAAGGCAGACAAAGGTTAGGAAAAAGGAATGCTGATTTACTACTTTATACTGATGGGTAAATGTGATTCAGAGAGAAGCTCACACTGTAAGTTTTTGGCGGAGCCAGGAATCAAACACACATCTCATGGGTCACCGCTTTCTGCTGAACACAATATTCAATGTACAGGGAACCATGCTAAAAAGCTCAATTTGGGCAGCCTCTCCATTTCAGTAATGTGTATCTGAATAAGCACTACACATGGATTTATGAAACTGAGTTCCTGGCAGCAGTTGTGTACATGATCTTTGCCTTGTGCAGACAGAACAAGTTCAGTTGGGCTTGCTTATACCATACCAAGTCAGCCAAGCTATGAGTGGTTCTAATGGGAACTCCCACAAACTGTACAAATGATTTATACCTTAGCAGATATTTTGAAAATGTTGAGCAAGATTCAGGGAAATAGAAAACTTACTATCATTGTGAAAATGCACTCTTCTCTGACAGGCCCAAGGAGTTCATTGAATGTGTATCTCACATTCGTTTGCTTTCCTGGCTCCTTCTGGGGTCCCTGACGCACAATGTTGTCTGCCCAAATTCTCCATCGTCTTGCATGCCGATTCCTCTGGATGCAGGTTCCCACGTTGCAGACCACCTTATAGTTATCCTGATTGGGTTTCCTGAGCAGTCAAAGGTAAGGAAGTCCATGCATTTGTGGTGTGCATCATCATCAGTATTGCAAACACTTGGCACTAAATTCTATTTCACCTTTTTGGGCATAAGTAGAGCCACACGATGGCAATTTTTAGCACTTAAACAATTTGCTTATCCTGCACGTTCCTTTTGAGCATGCTCGGCTGGCTGCACTATGACTGTGTTGGTGCCCAGTGGGAATAGACTCTCCCCCAGGTACTTCAGGGTAAGTATTCTTCAGGGTAAGTTCCACCAAAACCACAAGCAGCAAGTATTTGACACCAGAGGGGAAGGAGTTTTATAGTTGGTGTGCTTGCCCAGGGAGTAAGAGGCCCAGGTTCATAGCCTACCCCCTCAGAGAGGATGTGAAACTGCTAAAGGCCTCTGACCAACATGGCATGTGTGAGGCATCTCCCAGAGCACTCTCCAGTCTTGTTATTCAAGCTAGGTCATGGTGTAGCCAGGAAGGGAAATGTGTAAGGCCAGGAGGAGGACCAGCCAGAGGCAGTCAGTGCTATGGATAGTGCTTTAGAAGAGATGGGGGTCCCTGCTCTCAGTGGGGACAAAAATTATTGAAGTTCTGTTTATCAGTGTTATCTGATGAATGTTAAATGCAAGGTGCAGCAGTCAAGTGTTCTTCATAATGCTTAGCATGTGGCCTGATAGCTAGAAACTTTGCTGGGAACTGGGAAACGCATGTTCAAACCACCTTTGGGTATCAGGGTCCTAAAACCCAGGTCTCCCATTCCCTGAGTAAATACACTAGCCACTGAACTACTGGGCTAGAAGGTAGGCAGGTTCACTGCTGTGCCCTCATCCTGCTTCTGGCTGGTCCTTGAGCAGGGTGAGCCTTTTCTGATATGGAAGCAATCACTGTAGCACTGAGCTATGGCGGCATAGTGTCAGGAGGCATGAACCATGCCGCTGACACTACTGCACAGTAGGGTCATAAACAACCTGTGTGCTACTGGGTCTGTGCAATAACAGCTGTTACTGCGCAGTCATTTAATACTTGCTTTAGCATTTAGCAAGTACTAAATGAGTGCGCAGTAACAACTGTGCATGGAGTGCCACTTGTGCACATGGTGAAACAGGATCTTGCCTTTAGCAACCAGTTGTAGTTTTCACAGGGAGGTAAATTGTTTCTTAGAACTTCCCCTTCTCCAGATCTTGTAAATGTGAGTGCATAGTAATGAATGTCCCTGTCTAAAGTTGCATACACTCCCAGGCAATAACCCAGACCCTACACATTGTAAAATGCTTCAGCCACACTGTCTGAATACCATAAGTCCACTGCCTGTTTTGTATTTCAAAAAAGACCGCACTCTACTAAAAATGGCATGTTGTTATCTTCACAAGAAACAGGCCTAGAAAGAGACTATAAGCTTGTGATTAAGAAGGGTGCTTTTTAAGGTAACAGTACCTGCAGAGAAAGAAAACAAGTGATAACATCTCTAGAATTCATCTTGTTTGAAACATTTGACTCTGAGCACAGTAACAGGAAACAGGAATTTTTGAGTTCTAAACTGAGCTCTGACATTGTCTCTCGCTGTAACAAGTAAATTACCACTCGTTCTGTATAGTAGTATATAGAAAATGGTTTTCTGTTCTATTCTATCCTGTTCTATTCAAATAGTGTAATACCAGTAGCTGACCCACAATCTCAACTTGATGTCAGGATTACAGAGTTACTATTTGCAAACAGTGATGAGTTCAAGTACAACTTTATTTGTCAAGTGCTTTGAAGATGGCAAGAGCTCATCATTGTTGCAAATCATAAACCATTTACAACAATAATTAACGTAGATACAACATGTATTCTTACAACATTATACAGGGTTTAATAAACTACAGAAGTAGAACAATCACAGGGTTGTCCTTTACTTAGCACTCTCCAACCTATCTAAGGCTGATGTTTCCCATTCATTCTTCTTGGACTTCTTTTTTGCTCCTTCAAATACTTCCCTCTAGTTACCAAGCAACCATGGCAACATTTGGTACAGTCACGCTGCTGCTAAGTATGCATCACTGTTATACTTTCAAACTAAGAAAATATCTTTGATCTGAAATACAGGTAAGTATCTCTTTTTTAATGAACTAGTGACATGCCTCAGAGTCCAGAAGGCTAAAAAATCACCATACATAACATTTGCTATTATTTATTACTAGCGGAGCATGTTCAGGTATGTTCTGTACATTCATAAAACTATGCTGTGAGCCTTACAAAACTCATACCCTGGGGCCACAATGTGGAAGTAAAATTATTTATTTTTTGAGCATACTCCTTTCCTAAGACCCCAAACTCATACCAACTAATCCAGAACAGGTTTAAAATGATGAATCTTAAAGGTTGTTGAGTCTAAAAGGTGTGATCCAACAGACCTTCCATTGGCTGCAGTGGGGAATTTTCCCTCAGGAAGTTTTGTGAGATTGATCCCTAAGAACATACTGATCTGCACACATTTCTTACGTCAGAGGGATGGATGCTAGTGTGACTGCTCAGGAGTATGGGCCCACATTGGGCCAATCGATTATTAGATAGGAATCTTGGATTTGCATATGCAAAAAGATTTGTAGAGTATTAACAAGCTGTTAGCAGGTGCTTTCCACTTACTGTACCCTTGCAAAAGATAAAACACTTGATAGGCTTAGGGTACTTGGTAGTAAATGAAAGAGAAGCCCTTTCAAGTGGATTACTTCAACTGGACCCTGCGTTAATGGTGGTTGCTTTTGTGGGGAGTACAATTTATACCGTTATACATTATTTCAATAAAACATTTTCTTCGCATTCTTGTTTTACAGACATCGGTGCTGCACATGTGCTCCCTCTTCCATGCATTTATATTTGCCCAGCTCTGGACGGTATATTGTGAACAAACAGCAGTAGCCCCTACTGTCCAAAATCAAAATGAATTTAGCTTTACAGCAATCCTTACAGCTCTGGAGTTCTGGAGCCGGGTGACACCTAGTATCCTACAGCTCATGGCACATAACAAAGTGGTGAGTCAGATGGTGTGTACAGATTTGTTTATCACAGATTTAAGCAAAGCCAAGCCTTCTGGGTTTCAAGTTAAAAGCTGTATGCATAAAGCTGTGCATACTTTTTCATGGAAAATAAGCCTGGGAAGGATCTCAGGAGCTCATCTAATCTGTTCCCCTGCTCCCAAGCAGGACCAATTTTGTAAAACAATCGCATGGTTTTTGTACATACCATATGTGTTGTCCTTGAGAGTTTGAAGGGGATGTTAGGTCGTAGCAGATCTATCCTGTAGTCTCTGAAAGATGATCTAGGGTTTCTTTTTTGGATATTAGAACTACTGCTGATTGGACTGGAGACCCATTTTAGACAGACCCTTTAGAGATAGCATCCTAACCCTCCTACAGGTGGCCATGCCCCTGTTTGACTCTGTCTAGGAGAAATGATCCAATGCTTCCAAATGGTTCTGTCAGTGTTTGTTTTGAGTTTGCCATGTAGCTCATGTTCAGTCAAAACAGCTCAACTTATGCATACTGAATACTCAGAGCTGACTGGTTGCAAGAAAGCCACTGAATAAGAATTATCCAAAGACTTCACTTGGCATATATTTTTGAGTTGTGAGTGATTTATGAGACCACACATTGCTAACAGATATTTGAAAACAGAAAATAAGCCAAATTGTAATACATTTTCTGTTAAGGATTATTGGCTTAGCTCTGCTTGGCATGGGGCTCCTGGAACAGCCTGTGTGCTAAGAGCCTGATGCGGTGCTAGGTGCCCAGTGCCCCCTGATATGTACTGAGGGCTCTAAACTTCCATTGACCAGTATTTCATAGGCTTGGGCATGCACAATGCCAGTGTATGTTTTTAGGTTTGCACATTCAGTGATGAGAACCTGCTTAAAAAAAGCAGGCTATACAGTGACTTCCATTTTCTAGAGTCAAGACAAGTATGGTTCCCCCACAGAGTTCATAGATGTTCTTCATTAACTGAAATGACAATTGCTGTCTTAGTCTCTGAAGATCTTGATCTTTAGCTCTCTGAGGGTGAGAATTTGCATATGTGGCTTAGTCTTCTGAGCCAGGGTCTTCCAAACCTTTTTAGAATGTATATTTCATAGATTTCGTAGATGTTAGGGCTGGAAGGGACCTCAAAGTTCATCAAGTCCAGCCCCCTGCCCCAAGGGCAGGAAGTCAGCTACAGTCAAAGGACCCCAGCAAGATAAGGATCCAAGCGTTTCTTGAATAAGTCATACAGTCGGAAGGGACCCAATGGATCATCGTGTCCGACCCCCTGCCCCTGGCAGGAAAGAGGACCAAGGTCAGACGACCTAGCCAGGTGATTGTCAAACCTTCTCTTGAAGACCTCCAAGTTAGGTGATAGCACCACCTTGCTTGGAAGTCCATTCCAGACTCTGGCAATCCTTATTAGAAAAAATATCTTCCTAATGTCTAACCTAAATCTACTCTCCACTAGTTTACACCCATTATTCCTAGTTACTCCCTGGGGCGCTCTGGTAAACAGCACATCCCCAATTTCCTGCTGTCCTCACCTGATAAATTTATAGGCGGCCACAAGGTCACCCCTCAGCCATCTTTCAAAAAGGCTGAAGAGATCCAGATCTCTCAACCTCTCCTCGTAGGGTCTTTCATGGAGACCGCTAGTCATGTGGGTGGCCCTTCTCTGAACCCTTTCCAGATCCTCCATGTCCCTCTTGAAGTGCGGTGCCCAAAACTGGACACAGTCCTCCAACTGCAGCCTGACTAGTGCTGCATAGAGGGGGAGCATCACCTCCCTCAATCTGTTGGTCATGCATCTGCTAATACATGACAAGGTGTGATTGGCTTTGTTGATGGCCTCGTTACACTGCTGGCTCATGTTCATCTTGGAGTCAATTATGACTCCAAGATCTCTTTCAGCCTCTGAGCTGCTGAGGAGGACATCCCCCAACCTGTAGGTCTGCTGGAGATTTCTCCTTCCTAGGTGGAGTACCTTACATTTGTCATTGTTGAACTGCATCCTATTACGTTCTGCCCATTGATCTAACCTGTCCAGGTCAGTCTGTAACTGCTCCCTGCCCTCTGGTGTATTAACTTTCCCCATAATTTGGTATCATCCGTGAACTTGGAGAGGGTGCTCATCATATCCTCGTCCAAATTGCTGATGAAGATATTAAATAACACCAGCCCAAGGACTGAACCCTGCGGGACCCCACTGCCCACCTCCTTCCAGGCCGAGAATGACCCATCAACCACCACTGTCTTGGTGCAGTCCCTAAGCCAGTTAGCCACCCACCTGACTGCATAGGCATCCACTCCACAGCCTGTTAGCTGCCCTATGAGAATAGGATGCGAAACTGTGTCATAGGCCTTCCTAAAATCTAGGTAGATGACGTCGGCCTCTGCTCCTGTGTCAAGGCAGCGTGTGACCTGGTCATAAAAGGCTATAAGGTTTGTCAGGCAGGATCTACCTGTGATGAACCCATGCTGGTTTCCTTTCAGCATTGTTTCCCCTACTGGGCTTTCACAAATACGCTCTTTGATTTTTTTTTTTCTAGTATTTTCCCAGGGATAGAGGTAAAACTGACTGGCCTAAAGTTGCCTGGCTCCTTCCTTCTCCCCTTCTTAAAAATGGGTACCACATTGGCCTTTTTCCAGTCCTCAGGGACCTGTCTGGAGCACTACGAGAGCTCAAACAGCTGTGTCAACAGCTCAGCAATGACACTGGCCAGTTCCTTCGGCACCTGTGGGTGGAGGTCATCCGGGCCTGCTGACTTGTACCCATCCAGCCCTTCCAAGTGCTCTTTAACTAAGTCAGCACTAAACTTTGGCAGTCTGGTGCCTTTTGGACATCTGTCTGTGCTCAAGGTGGGGGGATTGCCTTGGTCAGTAATAAGGAGTACTGAAGTGAAGAACTCATTGAAGAGCTCTGCCTTTTTGTCTGCGTCAACCACCAACTGACCTGATTTGTCCTGCAGGGTTTCTATGCTATTCTGCGCCTTCTTTTTGCTCACTATGTATCTGTAGAAGGACTTTTTTATTGTCCTTGATTGTTGTAGCCAGCCTAAGCTTCAGTCCTGCCTTGGCCTGCCTAACTGACTCCCTGCAATAGTGTGCCAGGGTGATGCATACCTCCTTGGTGGCTGCCCCCTGCTTCCACTGCCTATACATCTCTTTCTTTGCCCCCAGTCTTTCCTGAAGCTCCCTGTTCAGTCACGGGGGCATTTTATCCCCTTAGCCCCTTTCCTGCATAAGGGGATAGACTACTTTTGTGCCCCAAGGATCACTTCCTTGAGAAACTTTCAACCCTCTTGGACCCCCATTAGACCGATGCTCTTGAGTTCAGCCACCTCACTAACTAGGTTCCTAAGTTTCCTAAAGTTGGCCCTTCTGAAGTCTAAAACTCTAGCATCACTGGATATTTTTCTCACCCTTCGCTGGATAGTGAACTCGACCAAGTGGTGGTCACTATCACCCAGGTTACTGTGTACCTGCAGGTCCCCCATGAGATGCTAGGACCAGGTCTAGCATGGCGCTACCCCTGGTGGGACTGGACACCATCTGGGTTAGGTGGAGGTCCTGCACACAGTGTACGAACCTTCTTGAGCAGCTTGTTTTGGCCACCTGTTCCTCCCAGCTGATGTCCAGGTAATTTAGGTCCCCCATGACCACTGCCTCCCTCGCCTGTATGGCATCTGAAAGCTGCTTGGAGAATACCAGGATGACAAGCTAGACGAGGTAGTGGGGGTCTACTACAGACCTCCTCACCAAGTCCTTTTCCCCTGGCCCCCCCTGGATCCTGACCCACAATGCCTCGGTATTCCCCTCCTCCACTCCTGCCTTGATGACGGAAGATGTGTACTGCTCCTTAACACAGAGAGATACACCCCCACCTTTTCTCCCCACTCTGTCTCATCTATACAACCTGTACCCCTCAATGCCTACTGCCCAGTAATGTGTAGAATCCCACCATGTTTCAGTTAAGCCAACTAGGTCATACTGTGTGCTAGCAAGCTGGAGTGAGAGTTCCTACCCCTGACATTTGTGTAAAAGACATTTTAGCCCCCCAGTGGGTGCTCTTGGTGTCCCTTTGCCTTGATGGCGTGTGTTCCCCTTAGTGATTACCTGGTTAGGTCCGGTGCCTTGTTTGTGGCTTTCCAACCTTGGGTTCTCATCGACCACAGGTTCCCCGTCCCCTGTCGAACCTAGTTTAAAGCTCTTCGGAGGAGATCAGCCACCCTGCGGGAGAACAGATGCTTACCTCTAGGAGAGAGATGAAGATTGTCCCGTCCTAGGAAGTCTTCTCCCTGGAAGTGCTGGTCGTGATTGCAGAATCTGAATCCCTCCTGAAGATACCATCTCTGGAGCCGCCAGTTGACTTCCCTGATGCGGGCATCCTGGTGCCTTTGGCTGCTGCCAACTGGAAGGATGGAGGAGAATACCACCTGTGCCCCTGACTTTCTAAGGCCGACCCCCAGCTCATGGAAGTCCTTCATGATGTGGTCAGGACTACTCCCGGCTGCATCATTAGTGCCCACATGGACAAGGACCATAGGGTGATAGTCGGAGGGCTTGATGAATTTAGGAATCCTTGCAGTGATGTCACTGATCTTAGCTCCAGGCATGAAGGAGACCTCTCTCATCATGGGATCTGGTCAGTAGATCAGCCCTTCTGTGCCTCTCAGGATTGAGTCGCCCACCACAATAACTCAACGTTTCTTCTTCTGCCTGGGCAGTGGTCTCCCAGTCTGCCCAGCGGTGGCTGCAGGGACCACCTCCTCTGCATCTTCCTGCAGATGCCAGGTCCTGTCACCCGGGTCCAGAGGTGACAGTCGTTCACTCCTCTGCTGCAGATTCCTCTCGTGGGGTTTCACCCGTGGACATCTGGAGCTGCAAGGAATGGAAGTACCCATCAGTCACAGCCTCATCCTCCCTAATCCCACTCAGCCTGCTCACCACCTCCTGGAGTTCCCTCACTTGCTCCTCCAGGGCCCGAAGGTGGACTAGAGTAGGTGCCTGCACCACATCTGGAGGGAGTCTATTCCAGATCTTGGAGGCTCGGACAGTAAAGAAATTTTTTCTTATGTCCAGCCTAAAGCAGTCTTGTAGGAGTTTATGACTGTTGGTCCTTGTTTTTCCTTGGGGCTCTCTGGTGAACAGACGTTCTCTCAGATCCTGATGAACACCCCTTGTGTACTTATAGGCAGCCACCAGGTTCCCCCTGAGCCTGCGCTTTTCCAGACTGAAGAGTCCCATGGCTCTCAGCCTCTCTTCATAAGGCCTATTCTCTTGCCCTCTGATAATGCACGTGGCTCTCCTCTGCACTCTCTCAAGCTTCTCGACATCCTTCTTGAATCACAGGGCCCAGAATTGGATGCAGTACTCCAGCTGCGGCCTCACCAAGGCCAAGTACAGCAGGAGGATTAAATAACTTAATATAACACTTAACACTTCTTTGCTTATATATAATATAAACATGGGTGACTGGCACCTCCAGAGTCTGGGGGGCACCAGTGCCCAATTGCTGACCGGGGGAGGAGGGGTCCCCCAGTAGCCAATCACCGAAGGAGGGGTGGGCCCCAGCAGCCAATCGCTTGGGGGGAAGGGGGGTAGAGGGGGTTGGGAGGAACGGCCGATCACAGTGCCAGTAGCAAAACCGGAAGTGCCACTGGCACTTCTCTCAGTGCCAGCTAGCACCAATCTCATGGGGGGCACCGGCCGGTGCTTTGCTTGGTGCCCCCACTGCCCGGCTGGTGAAGGCTTATCTCAGGGTAGGCATGTGTCCCCCGTGCCCTCCCTATGCATCACCTGTGATAACGCTTAACACTTTATCTAACAATTGCCTTGCTGAGTACCTCTCTTTGGATGTCTGGTCACATGGGTCACTTCCCATCTTGCTCAGACCTGGGTTTCTTCCCTTTCATTAGAAATTGTTTGAAGCACAGTTGGAACATTCTTGTACCACTACATCAGTTGCCTATAAGGGAAAGCTATATTAGGCATGTACATAATATATTTAATTTCATAGATTTCATAGACATCAGGGCTGGAAGGGACCTCGGAAGATCATCGAGTCCAGCCCCCCGCCCAAAGGGCAGGAAGTCAGCTGGGGTCATAGGATCCCAGCAAGATAAGCATCCAGTTTCATCTTGAAGGTGTTCAATGAAGGTGCTTGAACCACCTCCGGTGGCAGGCTGTTCCAGACCTTGGGGGCTCGGACAGTAAAGAAGTTCTTCCTTATGTCCAGCCTGAAACGGTCTTGTAGTAGTTTATGACCATTCGACCTAGTCGTCATCCCTTGGGGCGCTCTGGTGAACAAACGTTCCCCCAGATGCTGGTGGTCACCCCTGATAAACTTGTAGGTGGCCATCAGATCACCCCTGAGCCTGCGCTTAAAGATATCTTCTAATGAGATTTTAGTCTCTGAAAATGAGGAGAAGCTTGTATGATCACATAGATCTCTGTGGAGCCCTAGTAGTGCTCTCTGGTTCAATGACCAGAGTTTAGGAACTGTTGCTGTTAGCCCCTGTGCACTAATGTCATGTTGAAGCCAGCGGGAATTATGTGTGGTACTTAACGCTGACTACCCTGATGCTTGGCCAAAGCTAAAAGGAAAGGTATGACTTCATGACAAGCGTTGGGACCAACCAGGGTGTTTTTTAATCCCAGGTCTAACAATGACTCATTATGTGGCCCTAATTGCAAGTCATTAAACTCTCTGCCGTGGCTACCACTCTGTGAAATGCAGATAATAATACTTACCCATCTCACAGGGGTGTTGTGGAGTTTAATTAGTTAGTGTTTGTAAAGCACTTTGAAGATGAAAAGCACCACATAAAAGCTAAGTTTATTATTATCTAGGGGAATTCATGCATATTTCAGACAGATACTGTAAATACACACTGCTGTCTTGGAGTATTTGTTTTACCTGTGTATTTGCATAACATAAAATATAAAATGCTATTTACTGCCAAATATCTAATATTTGCATATACAGTATTTCATGCTATAAAATTGAAGAATTATATATCCATGGACCCTCTGCCAAATCAGAACAATAAATTACCATCAGAAATAAAAAGTAAAAAATTGATCTTCATGACTATAATAATTGTCAAAGGAGTTTAGTAAATAAGAATACCAATTTCTGACTAGGTGACTGATGAGAACTACCCAGCAGGGATATGTGGGAAGGATTTATAAGGACCAGGAAGATGGAAATTGAAGGCAATTTGTCTTGGTATATCACAGAAATTAAGCAAAATAAATGGATCACTTAGAAGTATTTAACTGATAGGTGCTGTAGTATCAGAGGAAGGCTTAATAAATCTAAATGTTCCTCCTGTATACATGTAGTATTTAATCTGAAATGTCAGTAGTTCAAAAATATATAATTTCTGCCCCAGTATAACTGCCAAGCAAATGAAGCAAGATTATTTTTAGGAACCATTGGCTTTTTTCACACACATTTGTTCTTTCAGATGGTGGAAATGGTGTGTCTTCATGTGATTAGTTTAATGGAGGCTTTACAGGAATGCAACTCCACCATCTTTGTCAAGGTAGGCAAATCACTTGTTGCGGATACTTTTTAAAGGATACTGCCTGCATAGTTCAACTTATAAAGACGTTGTTAGAGTTCCCAGAAGAGGAAACTAAATGAGGCAGACGTTGTTGATCCAGTTTGAAGATGTAAACTATCTGACAGAGATGGGCAGTTCCATCTCCCTCCAGATCCAAACTCCCTTTGAATTTTTACATAATTTCTGATATCTGATGCCATCTCTAAAAACACACTGAACAAAACTATGAATTCAGTCATCCCTGATTTTTTTTGTATTCAAAAGCTAAATTTGATGGTTCCTTTTTGACCCATTTCCTAATTGCTAACAATCATTGTGGGTGGCTCTGTTTCCTTTGGAGATTATCTCAAGGCCCTGCCAATCAAACCCTTTTAGGCTGTTAACGTAAGGTTTGTGCATGCACAATGTCTGGTTTTATCATGTGCCTATATTTGGGTTTCTTACTTTCCTGAATTCTGTTTCTCTTGAGAAATAAAATAGCCCTGTACCAATTAATAGTCTATTTCCTGCTTGCTTTACTGATGCAAAATTCCTTTGGAAATAAGTGGCCAGCAGCATTTGGTCCAAAGTGGAAAAAACAATGCATTTTTCCTAATTCCGGGTCACTGGAATATTCCTGGCACTAACCTGATAAGAATGAAACAAAACTTGTCAAAGCATTTGGGCAGCCACACCAGGATAAAACAAATACTAGCATTATCAATGCTTCCCTTTTGTACTCCTTGGGAACCGGTCTTCAGATAAGAGAGCAGCAAACAGATTGGTTATTAGCAGGGATCCAGGTTTCCTGTTCACCATGGTAAAACATGGATTTTCTCACTTTAAGGAGAAAAACCCAGATTTTCTCTTTTTTAAAGAGAAAAAATTAAGGAGAAAAATTCTTTTTAAAGGAGAAAATGTGGGAAAAGGCAGGTTTCCCCTTGCAGGCTGGCAGAGTTCCAGCCTGCAAGGGGCTGGAGGGAGTGGGAGGAGGGTGGTCAGGTAGGGGGCACCATAGGCATGTGTGCATGTACATAGGCACATGGCCACTAGGCAGCCTGGAGAGCAGCTCCCACATGTAAAACAGAGGGGAGGATTGAGGCCCCCATAGTGAGGGAGGGAGTTGGGCAGGGCTGGAGCGGGGGCTGTTGCCCAGCTGGGGCAATGTGTGGGGCTTGGGGCCCAGAGCCATGGACAGCCACAGGGCCTGGGCAGGGAGCAGGACAAAGTTGTGGGTGGCTCGTCCAGGGGGTGTGGGGGAGGGCTGGCTCCCTGCTGCTGTGCATGCTCCTAGGGGAGGCATGGAGGGCGTGTGTCCTCCAGATTTGTACGTGGGGTGGGGGCAGGCTACCCACTGTGGGCTCAGGCTCCTGAGCAACAGCACAAGCCTCCATACCCACCGGTGTCTTGTGCTGGGTCCCACCTGCTGGGCCATGGAGACCCTGGGGGGAGGGCAGCAGGGCAGAGGCAGGCAGGGAAGCCTGTGCCACTGCTGGAAGCCTGCAGCACCATGGCGAGGCACCCTGTGCCCGCCCAGCAGTAGTGGAGGTGGTGGCATGCAATTGTGTCTCCTCATTGCTGCCAGGTGGGCAGGGGGCACTTTGCCATGGTAGCATGGGCCTCCAGCAGAAGTACACAGAGGGAAGCACCAGCCCCTGCAGCCCAGGGACCACTCCATCTGCTGGCAGCTTGTTCCCCCCTCCCCGCTGCCAGAGGGGCAGGTAAGTGCAGGGTGTGTGCACAACATGGGGGTTTTAAGGGCCCTAAAAAACCCACCACTTCAATTTAGGGCCCCTGTTTCATCTACACATGTCCTTAAATTGAAAGGCATGAGATAGATTGGGGTGACATAAATCAGCTTCTGTTGCCAAATGTGAACATTCAGGTTTATATTAAGATAAAGGCTGGACCTCCAGCAATTTCCTCCAACTGTTTTGACCAGGTATATATTTTCTTCTTTTCTGGAAAAAAAAAAGCTTTGCTGGGGATTGGTTATTAAATTCCATGTCCGTCCATCAGATTTCTTCTCATCCTTCTCAACTACGTAGCAGGGAAGGATTTGTTCTCTTCCAGCCACCTCCCAGTTCAGGGCTGAATAGTCAGCCTCCCTGAATCTGTCCAAGTCTTGAAATGCATAAGAAGTCCTATATTTATACACAACTCCCATACCAGCTTCCCCTGCCACTACATCTGACTCTATAGGCAATGCACATGCAGTATCACATTATCTATGGTAAATCTGTGAATCCATTGGGGAATATACCATAGAGTATGGCTGCCCTCTGGGCCTTTTCTTTCCCCGCTTTTTGAAAAAAACGACAGAAACCTATGGAATCAAAACTCATGGAAGAGGTGATATCTTTTATTAGACCAACTAGATATTTGCAAACAAATTATTGTACTTATCTGCAGGTTTTTGGGCACACTCGCCCTTTATCAGGCATAGGATAGAGCAGAGGTTTTAAAAGTTCTCCTAGGTAGCAATGGAAATTCATATTTCACAGGAGAGCTGAAGGTGTGGTAAAGTCTCATGTTTGGAACAGTTTATTTTGTCCAGGTTGGGCACAGATTTTACAATCTCTGATCTCTCCTATGCCTGATGAAGGGTGTGTGCGCCCAAAAGTTTGCAGATAAATACAATAATTTGTTTGCAAATATCTAGTTGGTCTAATAAAAGATATCACCTCTTCCATGAGTTTTGATGCCTTTTGCCTCTAGACCAATATGTCTACAACCTAGAAACCTATGGAGGAGTTTCAGGATTGTTGTAAGGCCTGGGCAAAGGATGTACACAGTTAAAATTTCTACTGCCTCTAGCCATGAAGCTGAGAGTTGTATATGGTTCTTTATATGGTGGACCATGTAATGAGTTCTGACACAGCTGCATATGATCCACTAGCAAAATAACCCTGAAATTGGAATAATTTGAGTTCTCTGAAGAGGGAGAATAGTGCTTTATCTAATGCTGTCAATAGTGATTAGGTTTAGCTTGTAACTCCCAGTAACATAATTGATAAATTGCAAATTTTGATGCCATTTAGAGGAACATTTTAGAACAATTTGGCTTGTGGTCAAATTAATGCCAGAGAGCATAGACATTTCAGCTAGCAATGGCTTCTCTGACCTTCATAAGCTTTTCTTTAAACTTACTCACAAATAGAAAGCTTTCTTAAAGGTTATATGTAGAAACAGTTATCAACTCTTGGTTTATGGATTCCCTCCACTTTTACCTCTGTCATTCTCTGGGTGTTAGGAGTGTGGGTCTATTAAGCTTGACCTTGCAGTTGTCCTGCAAATAAGCTCTGAGTGAAGTCAGTGGAAGTTTGAGTGCAGATCAATTAATGCACTATCCAGGAGAAAGTAAATCTGGACCGGATCAGAGCCTGAGACAGATACTTTCTACATGATTTCTGTCTCTTTGGAGTAGTTGCAGGGAGATTCACAGGTTCACAGAAGCTTAGGGCTGGAAGGGACCTCGTAAGATCATCGAGTCCAGCCCCCCTGCTCTGGGCTGGAAAGACTGCTGGGGTCAAATAACCCAGCAAGGTGTGCGTCCAGTCTCTTGGGGTTATTTGACCCCAGCAGTCTTTCTTGCCCAGAGCAGGGGGGCTAGACCTGATGATCTCACAAGGTCCCTTCCAGCCCTAAACTTGACTTCCTTTAGGCCCATGCATAGAGAGGAGTTAGAGGCAAGGCCAAAAGTCCCATCCCGCTAGTCCTTACTCACATATATAAATTACTGTTTGGGCAGGCCCACTGAGACCATTGAGATTGCTTTTATGGGTGTGCGTGTAGTATCAGGCCTCTATCCCTCATGTTGTACGTAGCTCTGATCATGGAAATCTTTGATTCTTAAATGTTTCTTTATATTATTTTTAAACAAACAATATCACTTTTCTTTAACTTCTATTTTTTTAAAAACTAGAATTGTGCATATCCACAGATACATATGAAAATCGTATGTTGCTATTTTTGATGATAACAAAGAAAATAAGGTTTTTAGCAGCCTTTCTAGAGCTTTTTTCTTAAAACTCACATTTGACAGGAGGGATGTGGAGCTCCTGGCTGGCTTGTGACTGGACTGAAGGGCAAATTCTTTATCCCCATTGCCAGCTCACAACCTACTTCAAGTGCTATGTGATAAAAGGGAAGACTTGGATCTTTAGGATATCTGTGATGGTAGAATTAGTGATGGTCAGTGTTCAGAATAATGTATCTTCTGCATCAGCATGAACTTCTGCCTCAGTTTCTTTCATGGTTCAAAATCTAGAGCAGTGAGCACTGGATAGTACAGTGCTTGGATTACATTAATTCCAATACTTGGGCACAAAAGAAGTCCCTCCAGGGAAATATAATCAAGGATTCTTCTTAATAGGTTTTCATTTTAACCTATCAATGTTGCCTTAAAGAAAATATCGGGAATCATTAGTTAATGCCACATGCCCAGCATGCTCATCACTTACAAATAAAGGGATTTCCATATTTGTGGGTGAATGCTTTCAGCATGTGTCACCAGCCATTCTTAGAGCTAAATGAGTTAGACGTACTCTGCTCTGACTCACAGTAAGTGGAGCAGATTTATAGGCACATATATTTTAATAACAAAACATCTGTGTCTCCATGCAGCTCATACCAATGTGGTTGCCAATGATTCAGTCAAATCTAAAGGTAAGTTCTTTCCCCCCCTAGTTATTTTATGTGGGATTGGTGTTTATTCTGGACTCTGTCTTAATTTACTGCAGAAATAAAATAACTGGGCATGGGCTCCCAGCTCCCTGAAAATGCAGCATTAAAAATGCATATTATTTTTGTTTTTCAGCTTCTCATCACACACATGCAAAATGCTTGGTACTTGGGTATATTCAGTGGCTCAGCACCAGGCACAATACATCTGAGCAGGGGCATCACCATAATGGTTAGAGAAAAATAGAACTGGGATGTTCTGCACCCTGTCAGTACTGGGACCTCTTTTCCAGACTGAGACGCAACCATCTAACTGGGATCTAGGGGAATACCTAGGGGAACACCTCCTGTCCTTCATTAACTAGCTGTGCAGGGTGGCTGTGCTCGCTTGATATCCTTTTGCCATCCACAGGTTGAGATGCTTAATTCTGAAGAGGGATTTCAGTTCTTTGATCTGCCCTGGTCTGCTGCTTGGATGATATCCCTGCTAAGTGCCCCTATTTGTGACAGAAATGGGGATGAGGAGTGGTTGATGGACACAGAGGCTGTGGAGAAAGCAGTAGCATAACTAGGCTGAGACACATGCGGACCTGCTCCAGGCCCTGATTTAGAGAGGGTGCTGATATTGCCCTCCACACCCACCCCAGGAGCCTTTGCTATGGCTGACACAACCTCATGATGCCCAACCATAGAAGCTGGTTAGCCCTGTGCTCCATAGTGTATCAGCCTGCAGCCAGGCTGCTGCAGCTGAGGGGGAGTCTTGCTGCATACTGGCTGTACCAGCCCTATGCCTGTCCTGTGTGCCCTGTTCACTCCCCAGCCTCCACCCCCAGACACTTTACTGGGCATGGACCTGCAACTCCCATGGCAAATCCCTATGGAAGGGCACCATTCATCTCAACCGCTCCCCCCCACAACACTGCAGGACATAGGGCTGCCCAGCTTCTGAGGCTGGCTGGCATGGGACTGTGCCTGCCATAGCAAAGACTCCCAAGGGGTGGGGCCATTCTGGTGCCCCCTGCTAAGCCTGAGCCTCAACTGCAGCTGGAGTAGAAAAGAGCTTGGGGAGGGTCTTTGCCCCAGACCCTTTCTGCTCCCTAGTGGTCAGTACTCTGCCCAAGGTACTACAAGAGCTCGTTACACCTCTGGAATAAAGCCCTAGTATAACTCTGCTGTTGACTTGGGGGACTGCAGCCTGGAGTCCAAAATCAGTTCTCATTTTTGCAACAGCTTTGTCAGCATGGGGGTGAGGGAGAAAGAAACCTGGCATGAAAGGGGAGAAACTCCTTTCCTAAAACACCTGAGAAGCATGACCCTGCATGGTCCTGGTTTTGTATATGCATGGAGAAAAGAGGAGCTGAACCTTCTGTTAATTTTTCACAGCATTTATCTGCTGGACTCCAACTGCGCCTCCAAGCCATTCAGAGTAACGTGAACCACCACAGCCTGAGGATGTTACAGGGGTCAGGACAGATGAACAACAGCTCATCTGTGCTCCGCAAATGGCTACAGTGTACCCAGTTCAAAATGGCTCAAGTGGAAATTCAGTCATCTGAAGCTGCATCTCAGTTTTATCCTCTCTGAATTGTTCCAAGCCGTCACTTTAGTTTAGCAATAATAGGGTTAAAGCTATAAGACACAAACCCATTTTGTATATATACAGTACATACTGTATCTACACTTTTTAGCCTAGGACAACTGTGTAAAAGCTTGCAATGGGCAACACCAAAAGCCTGATCCTGCTAGTCCTTTCTCACATATAAGTTGCTGCTTACAGGGACAGGCCCACTGAGGCCTTTGAGATTGCTTTTATGAGTGTGTGCGCAGGATCAGGCCTCTATCTCTCATGTTGTACATATCTCTGATGGAAATATTTGATTCTTAAATGTTTCTTTACATTATTTTTGAAACAAAAACAAAATATCACTTTTCTTTGACTTCTATTTTTTTTAAAACTAGAATCGTGCATATCCACAGATACATATGAAAATGCAATGTTGCTATTTTTGATGATAAAGAAAATAAGGTTTTTAGCAGCCTTTCTAGAGCTTTTTTCTTAAAACTCATATTTGGCATGCAATAACTTGTCACTATGAACCAATTGTGTTATGATGAAGCTTTTTGTCATTATCTTCTGGGAAAGCAGCTTGAAAGGAGAATTTTTACAAAGTGCACTTAGAAATTAGGTGGCTAAAACTATGCCAATTCATATGTCTTTTTTTTTCTTTTAAATATTGTTTTCCAAAACTGTTAAGTATGGTTGGTTGGTTTGTTTGTGTTTAAATTGCTTTTCACTCCATTGATTCTGTGCTGCACTTTCCACTTTAGTTTTGTGAATACTGTATTTTATTCTTTTGTCAATACTTGTATACAATGCAATTAAAAATGTATGACCCAGGCCTACACTTATTGATAGATATGGAAATTATATCACAGGCCTTTGATAGGAGCAGGTTTGGGTCTCTTATTTTGCATAGTGATATGACCAAGTTTCAGCAATGGCATAATTACATGGAAAGTTATGTTTAATAGCAAATGAATTTGAACAGCATAATGGGACTCATCCAAAACTCATTGAAATCAAGGGAAAGTGTTTCAAGTATTTCATTGGACTTTGGGCAAGTCTAAAGAGCACCAGAATATATCACCTCTTGTAATTAACATTTAAATCTGTGTAATTACCCTGATATTTCTTGTATTTAGTACTGTAATGGTCAGACTAGAAGAGTAATGAATACACAGTTAAGCTGTATATTAAAATGCTATTAAATGTATAGTCTTTACTATCATTCTCTGTGTTCATATTTTTCCACCCAACTACATGTGGAGAGAAGAGTGGATCCTGAGAAAAATTGCTTAAGAACATTTTTATTAGGCTTGTCTGTATCTGCCACTGGAGTTACTGAAAGAAAAAGTATATATGTTTGAAAAGATACCTTTACAGTGCCATTCAACTGAAAAAATGACCATGACTATTGCAACAATTTACTCAAAAGACCAGTTCCTTGTGTTCATCCAGGAGTATATTGGCTAATTTCTGTGTAAGGAAAAAAAAGTCTTTCTTTCTTTTAGCCTTGCATAACCTCTGCACAATTGCGAGACACCATATTCTGTATTCTATCCTGTCGTGGCTTCAGAGATCCATAGTCTTTAATGCCAGAAAGAGCCATGAGATCATCCAGTCTGATTTGTAATTTAAATTTCTTCCAGTTACCCCTGTCCTGAGCCCAATAAACTGTATTTAGCCTGAAGAACATCTCTCAGAAAGGCATCCTGTCTTGATTAGTAGACTCCATGGGGTGAAGACTCTACCACTTGGAAGTTTGTTCCAATGGTTGATCACCCTGTTAAAAATGGGTGCCTCATTTGTAATCTAAATTTTTTTGGCTTAACTTCCACAACAGGTTCTTGTTCTGTGTTTCTAATTTGGAGTAAAAAGCCCTTTGGTAGCCAGTTGTTTTCTCTCCATGAAGATACTTTAAGTAATCAAGTAACCTCTCAATTTTATTTTTGATAAGCTAAATAGATGGAGCTCCTTAAGTCCTCACAGTATGGCATTTTCTTCAGCGGTCAGATCTTTCCTGCATCCTCTCCAATCTTTCAGTACTTTCTCCAAAATGCAGGCATGAGCCCTGTATGCACTGTCTTCCAGTATTGGTCTCACCAGCACTGCATATATAGGTGCATATATACATATATAGGTGACCTGCTCCTGTTCACTCACTCCACATTAGAATTTACCTTTCTTGCCATGTCATCATGGTTCAAACTCACGTTGACTTGCTTGTCCACTATGACCTCTCAGTCCTTTTCAGGAGTAGCCTGCAATTCTAGGTGTATAACTGCATTTGCCTACATTACAGTGCATTTCCTGTGATACATAATCAACAGCCAAGTTTATTAAGTCCTAACAAATGTCGTCTGGGTAACCCCCAGGATGATAATGAGGTAGCACAGGTGTCACACTGGTGGGATGATAACTGAGGGACATCCTTCTCCACAACTTTCAAACAGGCAGAGGATGAGCAGTACCTTCCCTCCACCTTTTTGCTGGCTGTGCAGGGGTGGGAGGGAAAGCAGTAGAGAACAGAGAAGAGGCTCTGAGGTTGTTCTGTACAGCAGAGCTCAGCAAATTATTCCTCTTCCTTTTTCCTGCTGGCAGTTCAGTAGGTAAAACGAAGCTGCAATTGCAGCTTCTTGCCAAGGAAGAACTACTACAGCCTCTTCTTGTAGTTCTGGTTTGTGTCTGCCACATGACCCTGACCCTGGCCCTGGCCCAGGGCCCTGCTGCTGTTGAGAGTCAGTAGAGCAGGAGGAGCCCTGCTGGGATGTGAGAGAGCCGCACTGGCTGGGACAGCTTCTATTTGCATTTTTGCCCTTTCGTGGAACTGGCATGGCACTTTTACGGGGTGGGCAGGACCATGGAAGTGGTGCAGGCAGGTTAGAGTGGAATTCAGGAAGGGAAGAAGAGGACGGGAGGCTGCAGACAGAGGCAGGAGCAAGTGCGAGAGTTTGAAGTGAGACAGTGAGGGTTGCTTGTGAGTTGAGAAGAGAATAGGGACAAGCCCTATGAGGAGAGACTGAGGGACCTGGATCTGTTCAGCCTCCACAAGTGAAGGCTGAGAGGTGATCTTGTGGCCGCCTACAAATTCATTAGGGGGATGCAGCAAGGGATCGGAGATGCTCTTTTCACCAGGGCACCTCTTGTGGTAACAAGGAACAATGGTCACAAATTGACAGAGGGCAGATTTAGGCTACATATCAGGAAAAACTTCATGGTAAGGGTGGCCACAATGTGGAATGGGCTTCCAAGGGAGGTGGTGCTCTCCCTTACCTTGGGGGTCTTTAAAAGAAGGCTGGATAGGCATCTGGCTCAGCACTCCTTCCTGCCTAGGCAGGGGGTCAGACTCGATGATCTGTTGAGGTCTTTTCTGACCATAACATCTATGAATAGAGTGAATGAAGAGAACAAGATGGGGACAGGAAATCTGTGAGGGAATCTTGGACAGGAGAGACTGGGATTGAGAGGGAGGAGGAGGAGACAATAGAGAGAGTTTGTGGGGAAATAAAGGTGTCTCATAGGACTTCACACATGGACATGTAATTGAGTAGGAGCTCAGTTCAGCTTCTGGGCTAGGGAGAGACCTTACACATAAACCAGGTTAAGTGATCAGAAACTGGTTTAAACCTGTAACAGAACAGATATTCAGTGCACATAAACCAGTTTGAGAATGGCTGAAACTGGTTTGCAATAAACCTGGTTGAAGGTAGTACCAGACTTAACTGATTTGGCTCAAACTGGTTTATGCAATATGTGTTCCAGACCCCTTGCTGGTTAAAGATAAACCAGACTCCCCCAGAATTCCCAGCATGCTAGCTGGGCTGGGTGGGGCTCTCTGTTCCACAGCAGGGCTTGCCCCTCCCCTCTGCAGTTCTACCACAGACTGTGGGCTGCTCAGCCCCTCCCCCTCCCTTCTGCCTTGAGGAGGTGTCTGTGTATTAACTAGCAGACCACATGCTGGCTACAGTCCCTGCTGAATCAAGAGGTAGAATCAACAGGTAGCTGATAATGTCCCTCTGTTGGTCTCTTAATGGGGTGATAAACACTTATCAGTTCTCTGCTGGGCTAATCAGAGTGTCCTGCCCAGGCTTGGCCATGCCCCTACTCTAGCACCCCCAGCTTCTAGCCTGAGCCACTGCAGGTATGTGCCTGCATGTCTGGGATGTCTGTGCAGTTGCAAACCAATTCAGCCTAGCCAGGTTAAACTAACTTGCAAAGATTGAATCAATTCAGGCTCAGGCTTTTTGAATGTCTGTCCCTAGCCCTGGAGACTGCTATTGGGCAGAATGGGAACCAGCCAAAGCCAGCACCACCAGAAGAGGTGTGGAAGCAGACCAAAGTAAGTAAATGTTGCATTAGAGGGCCTCTTTATTTGTTTAATAGAGCATGGGTGAAAAGAGACAGCCATTTGGATTGAAGTGAAAGGTGTGATTTCATGATAGGGCAGTATCTTCTGCTTCTAACAGTTTGGGCAAAATTCCTGGTGCTTCATTGGACATAAGTGTAGAATTC